CAAGAAAAGAAAACTTCAGGCCAATATCCATGATGAACATAGACGCAAAAATCTTCAATAAAATATTGGCAAGCCGATTGCAACAGCAAATCAAAAAACTTATCCATCATGATCAAGTAGGATTCATCCCGGGGATGCAAGGCTGGATCAACATACGCAAGTCTATCAACGTAATTCACCACATAAACAGAACCAAAAACAAAAACCACATGATTATCTCAATTGACGCAGAGAAGGCATTTGACAAAATTCAACAGCCCTTTATGCTAAAAACCCTCAATAAACTCGGTATCGATGGAACGTATCTCAAAGTAATAAAAGCTATTTATGACAAACCAACAGCCAATATTATACTGAATGTGCAAAAACTGGAAGCATTCCCTTTGAAATCCGGCACTAGACAAGGATGCCCTCTTTCACCACTCCTATTCAATATAGTACTGGTTGCTGGAGAGGATGTGGAGAAAAAGGAACACTTTTACACTGTTGGTGGGAGTGTAAATTAGTTCAACCATTGTGGAAGACAGTGTGGCGATTCCTCAAGGCCTTAGAAATAGAAATTCCATTTGACCCAGCAATCCCATTACTGGGTATATATCCAAAGGACTATAAATCGTTCTACTATAAGGACACATGCACACGAATGTTCATTGCAGCACTGTTTACAATAGCAAAGACCTGGAATCAACCCAAATGCCCATTGATGACAGACTGGATTGGGAAAATGTGGCACATATACACCATGGAGTATTATGCAGCAATCAGAAATTATGAGTTTGTGTCGTTTGTATGGACATGGATGAATCTGGAGAACATCATTCTCAGCAAACTGACACAAGAACAGAAAATGAAATACCGCATATTCTCACTCATAGGTGGGTGATGAAAAATGAGAACAGATGGACACAGGGAGGGGAGTACTAAACACTGAGGTCTATTGGGGGGAAAAGGGGAGGGCCAGCGGGAGGGGGACCTGGGGAGGGATAGCCTGGGGAGAAATGCTAAATGTGGGTGAAGGGGAGAAAGGAAGCAAAACGCACTGCCATGTGTGTACCTATGCAACTGTCTTGCATGTTCTGCACATGTACCCCAAAACCTAAAATGCAATAAAAATTTAAAAAAAAAAGAAGATATGGGAATTGGCTAGATATGGAAGATGTGTGTGATAAGAGAGAAGTAGGACTTTGGGAAAATATCTGGATTTCTGAATTGTATCACCTACAGAGAAAGGCAGTTACTATTTCTTCTTCCCAGTCTGTCTGCCTTTTACTTCCTTTTCTTGTCTTTTTTCATGCAGCTAGAACTTTCAGTTGAAAAGAAAGTGATAAAAGGGGACATCCTTGTCTTGTTCCTCATCTAGGTGGAAAAGCTTCAAATTTCTCACCCTTAAGTACAATGTTAGCTGTAGGCTTTCTGTAGAAATTCTTTATCAGCATATCCTCTGTTACTAGTTTACTGAGAATTTTTATCATTAATAGATATTTGAGCCACTCTGCCATATTTTTATGTGGATGCACTCTAGGCTATTTTAATTTTTATAGCAATATAGACCATCTGATTGACAAACCTGTAGTTAATTCTTTGACATATCCACCATTGTTTTCTTAAAACTATTAAATGATAGTCATTGAGTGTTTTGCTGCCAGATAGTGAGTAAAAAGTAGTGAACAAGATGAAATACTCTTCCTTTCCTTATACAGCTTGCAGTCTATAAACAGATAATAATTATAATGTGGTAAGAGAAATTATGACAGAAGTAGGTATTCGATGGAAACATATAGGCCAATCACCCAGACTTGTCTAGAGTTACAGTTTAGGTTATTAGGAGCACTTTCAGGATTAACTTACTTGTTCTTTAAATTCCCAAGTGAAAGTTGCTAAGTTAAAGAGAGGCCCACTTTTGTGAAAATTTGGGACTTTAAGAACTAGCTCCTGAGAGAAAAGAAAGCCTCTTTAAATTTTCCTATTAGGGTTTGAAACTGCTTTTGAGTGTTCTAAAGAGATGTCTTTGTGCCATTGAGAATAGTTTACTTAAAAAGCTGATGAGAAAATCTTATTAATTAAAGTGGCATCAAGAGACTATTGATCCTACAAAATCCTTAGTAACTGCTAGGCATGGTGGCCCACACCTGTATTCCCAGCACTTTGGGAGGCTGAAGCAGGTAGGTCACCTGAGGTCAGGAGGTCTAGACCAGCCTGACCAACATGGTGAAAAAAATTAGCTGGGCGTTGTGGCAGGCACTTGTAGTCCCAGCTACTTGGAGAGCTGAGGCAGGAGGATTGCTTGAACCCAGGAGGCGGGGGTTACAGTGAGCCAAGATTGTACCATTGCACTCTAGCCTGGGCAACAAGAGTGAAACTTAAGTTTCAAAAAAAAAAAAAATAAATAAATGCTTAGCAACTATAAAAGAAAAAATTGGTGTAATTTGCCTTTAATGAAGAAATTCTATTGCAAAATCTACCATTAAGAACGTAAAAAGGTAAGCCAAAGGTTGGGAGACTAAATTATTGATACATACCTGACAAAAAAAATTTTATCCAAAATATATAAAGAACTTCTACAAATTAATAAGAACAGTAGAAAAATGAACAAAATATTTGAAGAGACTCTTCACAAAAGGATATCCAAATTGCCTTTAAACATGAAAAATTGCTCACCATCATTATTCATCAGGGAAATGCAAATTCAGAACACAGTCATACATGCTCTAGATGCTAGAGTAGCAAAGTGGCAAAAAATGGAATGTATCAAAATGTTGAGAAAGAATTGGAGCAACAGAGTTTCTATGCTGCTGGTGGGTCTGTGAAATTATACAACCACTTTAAAAGATTATTTACTAATATCTTCTAAAGCTGAACATTCATATCCCCTGTGATCCAGCTATTCCACTCTTAGGTTTATACAAACATATTTGTTCACATGTTCACTAAAAGATGAACTAGAAAGTTCATAGCAGCACCATTGGTAGTATTAATAGTAAAAAAAAACTGTTAACCACCCAAATGCTTATCAACACTAGAATGGCTCAAGTGTGGTATTCACACAATGGAATACTATACATTTATGAGAATGAGTGGTCTAATACTACACAGAAGAATATGGAAGAATCTTACATGCATAGTAACATTAGGGCCAAAAACCAAACCAAAAATATGTACTGTGTGGCTCTATTTTATGAAGAGCAAAATTAGGAATAGCTAATCTATGCTCATGGATGCCTGCATGGTAAAGAATGGGAGGGAGCGTAAGTGGAACTTCTAGGTTTGATGGTAATGGTCTTTCTTGATCCAAGGGCATTTGCAGAGGTACGTTGAGTTTTTTAAAACTATCTAGCTGTATACTTTTGATTTATACAGTTTTTTTGTGTTATATTTCAATAAAAAGTTTTTTTAAGTCCTGATTTTAAGTATTGTAAGAAAACCATAATAAAGAGAAAAGCTACACAATCTAGGTGTCATTATGTTAATCATTATACTTTAAGGTTAAAGAAGTATGAGAGTGGCTCACGCCTGTTACCCTAGCACTTTGGGAGGCTGAGGTGGGTGGATTACCTGAGGTTAAGTTCAAGACCAGCCTGATCAACATGGTGAAATCCTGTCTCTACTGAAAATAAAAAAATTATGCAGGCATGGTGCTGCATACCTGTAATCCCAGCTATTTGGGATGCTGAGGCAGGAGAATCACTTGAATCCAGGAGGCAGAGGTTGCAGTGAGCCAAGATTGCACCATTGTACTCCAGCCTGGGCAATAGAGTAAGACTCCATCTCAAAAAAAAAAAGTGCAAGAATAGTCATAGTCATTAGTGTAGATGAAATATAAATGTCTTGAGAGGGTGTATTTTTAGTTTGAAGTGATAGAAACTTTAGAATCATTGGACTTGATTCAGCTAGTATTAAGCTTTCCTCTTATAGTAAAGCAGTAGTGTTTTGAACTTCTAGGACATGCAACATGTTTTCAAGATCTGTTGAGTCATGTGGAATTTTGATGTTTGGGTATATCCACCCCCCACCAGGGGAAAAAAAAAAACACCTTGGCAATAACAAAAAAATAGGAATTTTTGAAAATCAAGGAACGTTACATGGTTTTGATTCTATTGTATATGACTGTGTAAAATATTAGATTTGGTTTTTGTCAATTATAACTCAGCATAACAAACAACTTAGTACCTCTAAAAGGATGACTAGAAAAGGTTCTGGCCAGGGGTGGTGGCACACACCTATAATCCTAGCACTTTGGAAGGCTGAGGTGGAAGGATCACTTGAGCTCAGGAGTTCAATCCTGGGCACATGGTGAAACCCCATCTCTTAAAAAAAAAAAAAAAAAACCAGATATGATGACGTGTGCTTTTAGTCCCAGCTACTCAGGAGGCTGAGGTGGGAGGATCCTTTGAGCCTGGAAGGTCAAGGCTGCAGTGAACCCAAATCATTTGAGCCTGGCACGTTAAGGCTGCAGTGAACCAAGATTACAAAACTACCCTCTAGCCTGGGCCATAGAGTGAGACCTTGTCTCAAAAAATAAAAAGGAAAAAAAAAGTTTCTTTTTTAAATCACAAGTGACTTTTTGTTAAAAAAGATGATGAATTAGATCATCTGGTGTTGGGAGTTCAAGACCAGCCTGACCAACATGGAGAAACCTTCTCTCTACTAAAAATACAAAATTAGCTGGGCGTGCTGGTACATGTCTATAATCCTTGCTACTCAGGAGGTTGAGGCAGGAGAATGCTTGAACCCAGGAGGTGGAGGTTGCAGTGAGCTGTGATCGCGTCATTGCACTCCAGCCTGGGCAACAAGAGTGAAACTCCATCTCAAAAAATAAAAGAAAGATGATGAGTTAAAAGCTTGTTATTAGTTCATTCTTACTCTCAGAGAAGGAAATATAGATGGCTATTCTTGTTCTTACCTCCCTTCTTATCAAGAGAATGTTCTATTCCTGTAGTACATGGTGACAGAATTACAACAGATAAACATGCCGATCATTACCTATTATTCTTTTTTAACAGTCAAGTCCATCATCTCCAGAACCAGCTAGTCTTCCTGCAGAAGATATTAGTGCAAACTCCAATGGTCCAAAAGCCACGGAAGTTGTGCTAGATGATGACAGAGAAGATCTTTTTGCAGGTAATTGTCATGTCTTTATTTTTTAATAATGGCCAATTGCAGTATATTTTCTATTAGATAGAAGATATTATCTAAAACAAAACTGAAATGCTGTGTTGTAAAGTGTTAGTGGCAGCTCTTGTAACAACTTAAAAGGTTGGGGAATTTCCATTCATATCACTCTACAAAAAATGTGGACTGTCAAGAGAAGCAAAAATGTGGTTCTTTCTGGATTTAAGCATTTGAAAATAAATTATTTATTATAGTTCGATTGGGGGGCAGTACTCGATTCAAAAGATTAATGGTTGTGATACTCTGAGACATAGCAGTGATTGTACTTTTTTATTACTTAGAAGATGTCACAAAGCAAAATTAAACTGTGAATTTAAAAATTATTCTGTAATCTATTTATATTTGAAAGCTGTTTTAATAAATTGCTGAACTATTTACTGTCTGTTCCATTTGACCCACTTTTAGGTGAATAATTTGATGCTTAAGGAATTTGTTTTTTGTATAGGGGCAGGATGTGGTTTAATTCATCCTAACTTAAAAAAAAAAAGGACTCTCTTAAACAATTATGTGCTTTAAAATTAAAATTAATGTTTTAATATTAGAAAGCAACATCTTCCTTAAAATTAATGACTTGAGAAATGAAAATGGTAAATTTTATTTTCTTTATTTTTTATAGCCTAATTTAACAGAACTGGCCTTCACTGAGTTAAAACTTAATATGGGTGGATTCTTTTGTGGCTCATGGCTTGGGATTTTCATGCTAAACATTTTTAACTTGTAAGATTGAGACTTCACACTAATCTGTGAGATATGCCTCCCTCAAACCTTGCTACAGTATTGGCACATTATTCATCTCATATGAAAAAGAAAAAAAGATTAAAAAAATTAATAATTATGTACTTAACTTTCATAGTGATTCAGTATTCAAACCATTCTGTTTTTGTACAAATATGTTTGAAGATAAAAATCCTCCACAAAAATCCATATAATTTCCAGCTTGATTCATTCCATGAGAAGTTGTCACTGCAGAATAATTCACATATTTTATTATGTTACAGAATTAAAAGTATGATACCAAATATCAGTCATGTTCTTTTTGAAATTTTAAGCCACCTAACAACATAGAATCCAAATCACAGTTAACCAAAGTTTTAGTGTTTCAGTATTTGTTATTGTGTCCTCTCATTGACTTTTTTTCAGGTAATCTTTCAAAGTTGTCTCATGATATTTGTATTTTAAGCTAAAAGATGACAGAAGTTCTTTCTCTATGAATCAACTTCTAATCTAAAATTCTGTGTATTCTTTTAATAGTATAAGGTCATACATAGAGGTTTCAAATTATCAATTTTATTAAAGATTCCTTTACTCTATAATCTCGGAATTCTATGTAGATGAATACATTTAAATCTTACTGTAACAAGAGAACTGGTGGCTCATGCCTGTAATCCCAGCACTTTAGGAGGCCGAGGTGGGTGGATCACCTGAGGTCAGGAGTTTGAGACCAGCTGGCCAACATAGTGAAACCTCTGCTAAAAATACAAAACATTAGCCAGCATGGTGGCGCATGCCTGTAATCCCAGCTACTTGGGAGTCTGAGACAGGAGAATCGCTTGAACCTGGGAGGTGAAGGTTACAGTTAGCCGAGATCGCACCTTGCACTCCAGCCTGTGGGACAAGAGCAAAACAGAACTGTGTCTGTGTGTGTTTGTGTACATGCAAAGTTTTTTTTTTTAACACTATGCACAGCTAGCTGATCAGAGAGTTAGCCAAGTGAGGACTATATGGTGATATTTGCCCCTTAACTTGATTAGAAAAAAATTTTTAAATACAGGGTCTCTGTCACCCAAGCTGGAGTATAGTGGCGCCATCATAGCTCATAGCAGCTTCGAACTCCTGGGCACAAACAATTCTCCCACCCCTGCTTTTCAAGTAGCTAAGACTATAGACATGTGCCACCATATCTGGCTAATTTATTCATGTTTTGTAGAGATGGGGTCTTGCTATGTTGCCCAGGCTGGTCTTGATCTCCTGGCCTCAAACAATCCTCCCACCTGGGCCTCCCAAAGTATTGGGATTACAGGTGTGAGCCATTGAGCCCAGCCAGAAAAATCTTTATAGTGTTTTATTCTACTTAACAGTCTATACTAAATTCAGTGAATCAAATACAGTGACTGTTATTGTTTGCTTAAAAAAGAGAGAGATGGGAACTAAAGAACAATAAACATAGTCATCTATCTCCTTTGTTGATGTAAAAATAGAAACACTTTTTATGCTTTAGCTTTCATTTTAAACTCAGCTGTATTTCATGATATCATTAAGTGATCGAAGACCTAATCTGATCATTTTTTTGTGAGTGAATGAATGAATATTACACTTGGTTCTTATTCATAATACACTTTAGCAGGTGTAGCATTCCTCCCTCTATGGAGGAGTATGGGTCTAGAAAAGTAAAATAGAGAGCAGCATATGTTACCAGGATGGTGAAAAGTATTGTCCAGTAATAAGAAACCTGTACTTTATTGTTTCTCTTATGCCAGAGGAGAGAATATAGATACTGCTCTAGTGACATTGACATAATCAGTTTATACTTGTCTCAAAGTATGTCTTCAAGGAAAAGTTAATATTTATAGTTAGCACCTGTGAGACATCTTCCTGAACCTTTTAAGTTTGCTTTAAATTAAACCTTGTGAATTTGTAATATGTTGGTTTACTTAAGCTAAAAGTGTCATGAAGAATATTTAAGACATTATATATTAGTATGTTGAATCTAAATCCTACAGTTTTTGAATGAAGCAGCCTGTTAGCGTAAATAACACAAAACCCAGTATCAGTAAAGTAAAATGTGATTAAAAAGTTTAAATGACTTTATCTGTACTGATTTCTCAATAAAGCTATTCTCACCGTATTTTGTCTGTGAGTCTTGCCACATAACAGTGCCTCCTTCAAACTCTGAGGGTTTTGTTTTGTTTGGTGCTTCTGTTTTGCTTATTGTTGTAAAGATCTCATACCTCCTAGCTTCGATATACTGTGTTTTTTTTACTGTATCATATTCCTCATTGGTCTTATTTCTTACAAAAAGAGTAATGAATACCAGCAATCATCACAGCCTGAAGTTGCATATAAGCTTTTATTTTGTTATAGTAGGCTTAGCTATAGCCTGTTACAGCATCTATAGTCCGTTTTCCCTCCTCTGGTTACTGCAGTTTGAAAGATTTTTAGTTATTGAACATTTTCACTTTTAATATGAAAAAGCAAAGCAATGTATACCAAATAAGGCTCTCATCAACATGAGATAATCAGTAAGAATAGCTTGATAAAATATTAACATGTATAACCTTATTTCAGGTAAACATGCTATTATTGATTTACCTTGAGGCATTAAAATTAAAATGGTTCACTGACTATCATTACCACCATCTAAGAATCTAAGAACCTCAGGTTAGAAACCACTGGTCTGATCCTATGTTTTCCTTGAAGTCCTGCCTTCCTTTCATAGTATCAGTTCTACAAACCAGCAAATTGTAGTTTACATTATGCCCACCAATTGTAATTTACCCTTTTCCTGGCTCTGCTTTTTGCATATGTCATTATTCCATTTTCATGGAATTCTTCCCTCATTTTTTCTCTACCCATCTCAGTCTTCTCAGATCCATTTTATAAACTGTTCCTGATTTTTGTCTCCTGTCTCAACTCAAATTGTAGTGTTTGTTCAGTAGTTCGTATAGTAATTGGATGTCTTGTAATATTCTTTTCATTGTTTGCCTGGCTATTATTTAACTCTTTTATTATTATTTAACATCCCACATGTTTATGTCTTGTTTTCCCGAACTAGATTATAAACTCTTAGGGCAGGTATGATATTTTACTTTTTTTGTGTTTTTCCATGGTACTTTTTTTTTCCATGTGTTTTTCCATGTACTGAACATCTGCAGTGTTATGTAACCTGCAGATGTTCAGTTTATTGATTTGGTTTGAGTTTTAAAAATTATTAGTATTAGATTTTTCAAGTGAATGCGTATTTTAATTTAAAACCTAAATACCTGTTTGCTTTGTGTCATATTTGTGTATCCAACTAATATCCAATAACCTTTAGCAATTAATTGCTTTAGATTACTAACTTTGTGGGTTTTCCATAGCCAATTTTTAATCCAAGTTGAAACACTTCTGGGCAGACTTCTGCCATACAATTTTTGTTTATATGTATAAAATAATCATAATATTAGTGTGAATACATATTTGAAAGGTAACTTACCACATAGATGTTACAAATCCAAGCACAAATGTGGAATCATTTACATCATTGCTTTTCTTTCAGCCTTATCCTTACCACTAGTGTAGATAATTAAGCTAACTTAATAGGATTCTTTCTGAAACTAACAAAGTTACAGTTGGTTTTAAAGTTATGATAAAGGAAGGATGCATGAAATTCCTTTGTGACAATTATTTTTAAATGACATTTTCGATATTTGTGGGTAATATAAAAACATTTTTTCATAATCCATTAACTGCTATGTAGAATATTGGGGGTTTTGTTGCCAGTGTTCTTAAACTAACTTGTTTAATCTATGTCTAGAAGCCACCGAAGAAGTTTCTTTGGACAGCCCTGAAAGGGAACCTATCCTCTCCTCGGAACCTTCTCCTGCAGTCACACCTGTCACTCCTACTACACTCATTGCTCCTAGAATTGAATCAAAGAGTATGTCTGCTCCCGTGATCTTTGATAGATCCAGGGAAGAGGTACAGAAAAGTGTATTCTAAATTAATATGTAAATATATACTTTTTTTCCCCCGCTACCCAACATCACTCTCCTGTTAGTCATTGCTAATCAAAGCCTTTCAGACATTTTGGGAATAGAACATTGAACTAAGTAAGTTATGGGATCTGGCTTCTAATTTTATCTCCCCCATTCTACCCAGTGACCTGGGCATATCATTTACCTTCTTAAGTGAAGGAGTTTGTCATTTCTGACTTTATGATGATAGTTCGTGTTTCCCCAGGTTTCTCTGTTGGTCAGATGGTATATAAAAGTGCTTTGAAAATGGTTAATCACAAAAAAGCGATATTTTTGAGTTTATTTATTTGATAAAATTTGTAATAAATACTGTTAATACTTAAAGGTTGCTATTGAAAAAGAAGGGGGAATGTATATCAGTTAAAGGTACATTCTCTTAATTTGGCAATAATTTCTGACAAGATGAATTTGGAAAAGAAAAATTATGTGGAGGTTATTTTAATGACAATTATATATTTAAAAGTTATTCATGGAAATATGTCATAAAGATGACCATAATTAAGTAACAACCACACAAAAGATATGAATAATCTCACAAACATAATATTAAGGGAAAGAAGTAAGACATAGAAGAATACTTACATAATTCTAATATATGAACTTTAAAAGCAGGTATAACTAAGGTATAGTGTTGGATGTCCAGAAAGTGGTTATGTTGGCAGGTAAAAAATGTAGGTGCGGTGGCTCATGCCTGTAACCCCAGCACTTTAGGAGGCCAAGGCAGGCAGATCACAAGGTCAGGATTTTGAGACCAGCCTGACCAACATGGTGAAACCCCGTCTCTACTAAAAATACAAAAATTAGCTGGGCGTGGTAACAAATGCTTGTAATCCCAGCTACTCGGGAGACTGAGGCAGAAAAATTGCTTGAACCCAGGAAGTGGAGGTTGCAGTGAGCCAAGATCTTGCCACTGCACTGCAGCCTAGGAGACAGAGTGAGACTCTGTCTAAAGAAAAAAAAAAAGAATGGGTTGTAACTGGAGGGGAAGCATAAGAGGGCCTCCTGGGCTGTAGTGATGATGCTTATTTCTGATCAAGGTTCTGGTTACAAAGATGTGTTCACTTTGGGAAGGTTTATTGAACTGTACACTTAGAATTTATATACTTTTTATATAATGATTTTTCAGTTTTACTTTAAAAATATCTAAGAAGACAACTTTGAAATAAAACAAGAATGGTTGGAAACACTTTTCATTTAGAGAACGTTAGGCTATTAATAATTGCTTTCAAAAATTCGCAAAGTTGAATAATCTCTGAGCTTTCTGCTAGAGAATAACAAAGCTTTCCCGCAGAGCTATTGTTTGGATTTTTTATTTATAATGACATTTACAAGGGCTTCTATGAAGTCTCATAGGGTTATCATTTTTCCCACTTACTGCTTTTTCAATGAGGTTTATAGTGCTTTCCTTGGCTTACAGAAGAACATGTGTTTATTAGATAAAAATTAGAGAAGTCTTGATGCTAAAGTTGCTTTTCAGTGTAATCACTTCTGCTGGTTTGTAAGATTCTGCTGATGAAAGTAATGACTACCTACCTCCTTGTTGTTAAAGAGCGGAGATACAACTTTGAAAAATGCTAGTATTAAAATTAATTAAGGAGGTAATTTTTAAATCTGAATCTGAAGATTCAGTATATAGAACAAAAATTTCCACAATATTTGTACAAAAAGGCTAAGACATTTTTTTATACATCTGAGGATTATAAAAACACAAGATTTTGGGCCAGGCACAGTGGCTCATGCCTATAATCCCAGCACTTTAGGAGGTCAAGGTGGGCAGATCACCTAAGGTCAGGAGTTCGAAACCAGCCTGGCCAACATAGTGAAACCTCATTTCTACTAAAAATACAAAAATCACCCAGGTGTGGTGGCAGACACCTGTAATCCCTGCTACTTGGAAGGCTAAGGCATGAGAATTGCTTAAACTTGGGAGGCAGAGATTGCAGTGAGCTGAGATTGAGCCACAGCACCTGGGCAACAGAATGAGACTGTCTTTAAAAAAAATTGTTTCTCCAAATGGTCTTTTTCATGTGTGTGTGTGTGTGTGTGTGTGTGTGTGTGTGTGTGTGTATGTATGTATGTATTTTATTTACAAAGTCAGGAAATGTGAAAGTTTTTATTGCTTTTCACAAATGAAGTGCTGAGTGGCTAAATTATTTGTTGTGGCAGTGACTCTTACAGAAAATAGATGATAAAATCAGTTTAATATCATGACAATAAATTATAATCTTTAATGCCAAAAAAATTATACTTTCTAGATTGAAGAAGAAGCAAATGGAGATATTTTTGACATAGAAATTGGTGTATCGGATCCAGAGAAAGTTGGTGAGTCAATATTTATTATATTTTGTATTCACTTTTTATTAATTTGGTGGTTTTGTACTGTTTTTCTTAATACATCAGTATAGTATTAAATGAGTTATGCATGTGATTTTAATAGCAGTGTTTGACTTTTTTTGTAGGTGATGGCATGAATGCTTATATGGCATATAGAGTAACAACAAAGGTGAGCTTCTGTGATTTTTAAAAAAAACTATTGAGCCCTTACTATGTGTAATATGAGGTTATGGCTATGATTAAGGTAGAAGTGATCCCTGTCTTTATAAAGGTTACCACATAATAAAGATTGCCAAGAAGTGATTACAATGAGTTGTAAGTAGTTTGATATGTAGAGTATTCAGTGAGAGTACGCAGGATGGGACCTAATTTAGACCTCAGGATGCCTAAGCCAAGACATAGGTGAGGGAAATCATAGGAGACGAGCGGGGAAAGAAGAATGCGTGTTCCAGGTGAGGAATTTGCTTGTGCAAAAGCCAAAAGTCAGGAAAGCATTATGCTTTCTAGATTCTCTAAGAAGTGATGCAAGATTGAATTGTTTGGCAATAAGCCTTTGTCTATTATGAGCAGCCACATTTAAGGAGTTTGGCTTCATCCTAAGTATAATGGAGAGCCTTTAAGAAGTTCAAAGCTTCCACAGGAGGCCTATACGCCACTGCTTGTGCTGCCGCCATGTCTCTAGTGATCCCTGAAAAGTTCCAGCATATTTTGTGAGTACTCAACACCAACATCGATGTGTGGTAGAAAAATAGCGTTTGCCATCACTGCCATTAAAGGTGTGGGCTGAAGATACGCTCATGTGGTGTTGAGGAAAATAGACATTGACCTCACCAAGAGGGCAGGGAGGAGAACTGATTAAGGATGAGGTGGAACATGTGATCACTATTATGCAGAATCCACGCCAGTACAAGATCCCAGACTGGTTCTTGAACAGACAGAAGGATGTAAAGGATGGAAGATATAGCCAGGTCCTAGCCAGTGGTCTGGACAACAAGCTCTGTGAAGACCTGGAAAGACTGAAGAAGATTCGGGCCCATAGATGGCTTCGCCACTTCTGGGGCCTTTGTGTCTGAGGCCAGCACACCAAGACCACTGGCTGCTGCATGGCTGTATCCAAGAAGAAATAAGTCTTTAGGCCTCGTCTGTTAATAAATAGTTTATATACCAAAAAAAAAAGAAGTTCAAAAAAGAATGTGGCACAATTAGGTTTTTGTTTTAGAAAGATTTCCTTGGCCTCAGTGTGAATTGGGAGGGTCAAAATAGAGATCACAATTTCCAGTTAAAAGGACACTGTAATGATTAAAGAATTGTAGGCCTTCAAATCTTAAAAGAGAGTGTCTGTCACAGTGATTCTAGCTGTGAGCTGTAATACTTTATATTAAGAAAATGGTTCTGGAGATGAGCAAAATAACTGGCTTCTTGAGTTAACGTAGGAGGCAGAATTGACAGGACTTGGATGTAAGGGGTGAGGAAGGAGAGCGATGCCTGTTACTGACTAGAGGGACTTTGCAACTGTAAGAGTTATCCATGGAGAAAGGCAACACAGGCAGAAACACAGTGAGGGTAGAGATGACAGTTTTTAATTCATGGGGTAGATATTCATTAAACACCTACCATGGTGTCAAGCTTTATTTCAAGCACTACGTTATAATAGTAAACAATACAGACAAGGGTGGTGTCTTATAGAACTTGTGTTTCAGCAGGGGGAAATATGGTGAGTTTGAAGTGCCAGTGAGATATAAGTGAGAGGTATTTGGATAAATTGGACTGAAGCTTTGAAAGATATCTGGGCCAGATGTAAATATTTAAGAATTTTTAGCATAAATAGAGTGTGAATAAGATCAGTTAAGATAGAATAATACAAATACTTTTTTGTCCCATTAAATTTCTGTAAAATACATCTATGATTTAGGTTTTTTTAGTTTAAAATCTCTATACCACACTAGTTAGATACTCTGCATTCTTTTGCAAAGTAGATATATGTGTGTGCTCACAATTATGTATAACATTAACAGGTGAAATATTGCTTACTATTCAAAACTTGAAATACTTCTTCACTTGTAGACATCTCTTTCTATGTTCAGTAAGAGTGAATTTTCAGTGAAAAGAAGATTCAGCGACTTTCTTGGTTTGCACAGCAAATTGGCAAGCAAGTATTTACACGTTGGTTATATTGTACCACCAGCTCCAGAAAAGAGTATAGTAGGTAAGCACAAATTTTCAAAAATTAATTTTTGTTACTGTTTACTAGTTTAGTTTTAACTGTATGGATTTGTGGATTTCATAATCATTCACTGATTATGAAACATTTTATAATGTATAGAGATAACTGAATTTAAATATTTCATTTATATTAATCATGCATGGATTGAAGAATGTATAGATAATAGTTTTATTTTCTAATGTTAAATATTGGGTTAAACCAGGTATGGTGGCTCACACCTGTAATCTCAGCACTGGGAGGCCAAGGTGGGACGATCACTTGAGGTTAGGAGTATGAGACCAGCCTTGCCAACATAGTAAAACTCTTGTCTCTGGTAAAATACAAAAATTGGCCAGGCATGGTGACACATGCCAGTAATCCCAGCTACTCAGGGGACGGGGGCAGGAGAATCACTTGAACTTGAGGCGGAGGTTGCAGTGAGCTGAGATCATGCCACTGCACTCCAGCCTGGGTAACAGAGTGAGACTGTCTCAAAAAAAAAAATTGGGTTGAAATTTACCAAGTTAAAAGCAGTTTGAAACTCTAACCTTTCAGGTCATTAAATTACTGTTTTACTGAATGACAGTCAGATAGTACTTAATATTATTAATATGTTAACATTTTTCTAAGGGATGGAGGTGTTTAACCCTCAGGTATACACTAATCTTGGCTCATATAAGAACGATTTAAACTCATCTTAGTTCATTTTGTACCTCCATTTAAAGTTTAAAAACATTTCTACTTCTATAAGCAATAAAGATTTAGTTAAGAAAATGCAGAAAACTACAAAAGAGGAGGATACTTCTATAGTCCCGCCATTAAAAGACATCTGTCGTCTCTCAAAATTTTGTAGTATTTTATTCAATGCTTTTTCAGTTGTAGGTTTTTATTTACCTTTTTCTTTTTTTTTCCTTTAAAGTAATTTTCTTCTCTGTATTGTTCACAATTTTAATACATGTGCTGCTGAAGTCAGCACTACCATTACTTTTCTTTATACTTAGATTAATCTGAAAGGTTTTTTCTTTTTTTTTTTTTTTTTTTTTCTCTTTTCGAGACAAAGTCTCACTCTGTTGCTTAGGCTGGAGTGCAGTGGCTTGATCTTGGCTCACTGCAACCTCTGCCTTCCAGGTTCAAGTGATTTTCCTGTCTCAGCCTCCTAAGTAGCTGGGATTATATGCACATGCCACCATACACAGCTAAGTTTTGTATTTTTAGTAGAGATGTGGTTTCATCATGTTGGCCAGGCTGGTCTTGAACTCCCAACCTCAGGTGATCCTCCCGCCTTGGCAGTGCTCCTCCTACCTCAGCCTCCCAAAGTGCTGGGATTGCAGCAGTGAGCTACCTCGCCTGGCCAATCTGAAAGATTTTTTTTTTGATGGAGTCTCTGTTACTACTGGAGTGCGGTGGCACAATCTTGGCTCATTGCAACTTCCACCTCCCCTCCCTCCCTGGGTTCAAGCAATTCGGCCTCCCATGTAGCTAGGACTTAGGCACGTGCTAATTTTTGCATTTTTAGTAGAGACAGGGTTTCACCATGTTGGCCAGGGTGGTCTCTATCTCTTGACCTCATGGTCTGCCCCTCTTGGCCTCCCAAAGTGCTGGGATTACAGGCGTGAGCCACCACGCCTGGCCTTAAAGATTTTTAAATTGAATTCTGCTGGCTGCGCACTGTGGCTCATGCCTGTAATCCCAGCACTTTGGGAGACCGAGGTAGGCAGATCACCTGAGATCAGGAGTTTGAGACCAGCCTGGCCAACATAGTGAAACATCTGCTGTCTCTACAAAAATGCAAAAATTAGCCAAGCATGGTGGCTGAAGCCTGTAATCCAGCTATTGGGAGGCTGAGGCAAGAGAATCGCTTGAACCGGGGAGGTGGAAGTTGCAGTGAGCTGAGATGGTGCCATTCACTCCAGGCTGGGCAACTGAGAAAAATTCCGTCCCGAAAAAAGAATTTTGCTGAATTTTTCCCCCCCACAAGCTGATATCAAACTCCTGGCCCCAACCAGTCCTCCTGCCTGGCCTCCCAAAGTGGTGGGATTACAGACTGGAGCCATCATGCTCAGCCAAATTTTGCTGATTTTTAAATTCTTGTTTTTACTTTTTTAAACATTAGGTTTAAAAAGCAATGTTACTCGTACCTGTTAGAGTTTCAAAACCTAGCGTATTTATATGAATTTGTTATATTCTTTCTTTTTTTTTTTTAAATCAAAAATTGAGTTGAGTGGTTCTTTAACTTTTTGGTCTTTCAAGACCTTTTCTGTATTCTTAAAATTTATTGAGCACCCTAAAGAGTTTTTGCTTATGTGAGCAATATTTATGGACATTTCCTTTGAAAACATTTTTAAATTTTTATTAATTCATTTAAAAATAACAATAAATTTATTATGTGTGAAACATTTTGTGAAATAAATGCTGTAAGACAAATTTAATGATGAGAGTGTCTTGCTTTCTTCTACATTTTTGCAAATCTTTTTAATTTCTGGCTTAATAGAGGATAATTTTATTCTTGTATCTGCTTCTCTACTCAGTTTGTTTTGCGATAACACATCATATTACCTTGGTAAAACTACACTGAACATTCATGAAATAATGAGAGTAAAAAAAAAAAAACAAATAGCTTCATATTATGAAATAGACTTTGTGCCCACCCACCTACCCTCCTTAAGTGTCTCTGAATCCCCCTAGGATTATTAACGTCTTTTTTTTTACTTCATCGTGCAACATTTTTGCATACCAATAGAGGTAAAACAATATATTATTTTATCTCATTTTGATAGCTATATATGCTAGTTAATCCTTACACGTTGACCAAAAAAACTTAAAAACTAAATTTTCATGCCTAAGATCATGTTTCCAACTGATTGTCTGCCTTAATAATCTTGAGCATTCCATGAATTATTGCAGTATAATAAATACCGCATGTAAATTCAAAGTAGAAGTTAGAAACTAAATCCTAAGAGCATCCTTTTCTATTACTGATTCTGACTAGCTCCAGATATTAATAGGGAACAGTACACAGTTATATTTATGTTATATGACCAGGCTAGCCTGTTACAAAACTATCCATTAAAGTAATGGTCCCCAACCTTTTTAGCACCAGGAACAGGTTCCATGGAAGACAGTTTTTCTACAAAGGGCGTTGGGGTAGGGCATGGATTCAGATTGAAAGTGTTCCACCTCAGATTATCAGGCACTGTATTCTCATGAGGAGCACACAACCTAGATCCCTTACATGCCCAGTTCATAGGGTTCACACTTGTATGAGACTCTAATGCCACTGCTGATATGAAAGGAAGCATAGCTCATCTCCTGCTGTGCAGCCCACTTCCAAACAGGTCATGAACCAGTACTGGTCCATGACCTAGGGGTTGGGGACTCCTGGGTTAAAGCATAGGAATAACTAACATTCCCTGAATGCTTACTGTGCTAATGTACTATGTTAAGTACTTTATGTGCATATGTGCATTCTATCAGTTGATCCTCCCAACAACTTTATGAGGTTAACTTATCTTTGTCTTTATTTAATGGGCAAGGAAACAAAGGTTAATCAAGGTTATGTAACATGCCCCAAGTCATTCAACTAAATGACAGAGCTGATCTTTGAATGTAGGCTCTCTATCTCCAGACCCTTTACTTTTAATCACTCTTAATATTCTTCTATTCTGTATCCTAATTTCATTAGGGTTATTTCAATACAGTTATAGTTTGCTTGAATTTTTTAGCTGAAATAGCAAACTTTTCAATTTTTAAAAATAACATAATGCTATGTTATTGTAGAATCATCTAAAATATACTTAAGTCTGGTCCACATAGTAGACCCCATCTCTACAAAAAAAAAAATTGACAGATTAGCTGGGCGTGGTGACATGCACCTGTGGTCCTAGCTACTCAGGAGGCAGAGGTAAGAGAATCCTTTGAGCTGAGGAGTTTGAGGCTGCAGTAAACCACAGTGCACTCCAGCCTGGGTATAAGAGCAAGAACAAAATTTATTTTATTCTTGTAGTAGCTGGGACTACAGGTGTGACACCATGCCCAGCTAATTTTTTTTTTTTTTTTTTTTTATAGATAGGATCTCACTGTGTTGCCCAGGCTAGTCTCAAATTCCTGGGCTTAAACCATTCCCCCTACCCCGCAGGTTTGGTTCAGTCCCAAACTGTTGAAATTACAAGAGTGAGCCACCAAACCCAACTGAAACACATTTAATGTGGATTAAATTGTTTAAAACTTACACATACACCACCATTCCAAAAAGGATTTCAGGCAACTACATGTAATACAGTTTATATAGAGAGAAATTATCAGGAAAAATAAATGTAGTCAAATAGTAATACGAAGCCAAGCAAAACAGTTTCCTCCAAGTATGGTAAAGTCTTTTAACAGTTACTAAAGGTGGGTGACAACTTGATCTTTGAACTTCTAATTACATAGCTGGTGGTTTTCAAGTAACTTACACTTGAAAGTTACAGGGGGTGTGTGAAAAAAGAGTCATAACTTCTCTTTGCTGGGAAGCTTTATAACTGCCACTGAAGGGAGAAGAGTGTTCATGAACACATAACTGTTACTGCTTTAGTAGGACCCTAGTTGACTTAAGAACACTATTCCATGTAAACTGTTAGAAAAGAACAACAAAGTTGGAAAGTATTAAAAGTTAACTAGTTAGGATAAGTTGTTTGTTTTTTTTTTATTTTATTGGTCACGATGTCCCTTAACAATTACTTCTAAAAAGTAGAGTAGATAGAAGGTCTTTAACTTCAGTGAAGAATTACCCCATGGTGAGATTTTTTTCAGGGAAATAGAGTTTGTGAAACAATTCACATCCCATATCCAGTAGTTCAGTCAGAGGTAATTTTAGGTATCTAAGTTTTCCTTTTCAAGCCATTGTATTTCATTGGAATTTTGTTAAACAAAACATTAATAGGTGATAATTAATGTAACAAACTGAAGATGTACCAAACTGAAAAATTGTATGGTTTTATATAAACTGTTTTTAAAAGGCTTTATTGGAATATAAATTATATGCCATATTATATCCATTTAAAGTGTCTAGGTCGGGTGCTGTGGCACATGCCTGTAATCCCAGCACTTTGGGAGGCTGAGGTAGTCGGATTGCTTGAGCACAGGGGTATGAGACCAGCTTGGGCTATATAGCAAAACCTTGTCTCTACAAAGAATTAGCTGGGTGTGGTGGCATGTGCTGGTGGTCCCAGCTACTGAGGAGGCTGAAGTAGAAGGACTGCTTGAGCCTGGGATATTGAGGCTGCAGTGAGCCATGATTATGCCTCTGCACTCCAGCCTAGGTGACCGAGAGAGACCGTGTTTTGAAGAATAAAAATAAATGGTATCCAATGTACTGGCTTTTAATATATTAGGAGTTGTTAAATACATTACCACAGTCAATTTTAGAGTATTTTTATTACCCCAAAAAGGAATCCGGGATCCCTTAGCCATCTTCCCCTAATGTCCTTATTCTCCCCAGCCTTAGGCGAGCACTAATATACTTTCTTTCTCTAGAGATTTACCTATTCTGGACATTTCATGTAAAGGAGATCATACAAGAGATTATTTTTTTGTGACAAATTTCTTCCACTTAGCATCATATTTTCAAGGTTCTTTCATGTTGTAGCATATATCAGTATTTTGTTTCCACAGAAGACATTTTTGAAAGGGAAAAAAACGGGGGAATGAAAGACAAAAATCTGGCATCTAAAATTTAAATTGCCTGTACAGAAATAATTAACATGACTTATTTTTTAAATCTGAAGTTGTAAATGACTCTGTGCAAGAGCTTTTTCTTTCATCCATTATAAAACCAGCTATGATAAGTAAACAAGAACATGATCTTAGAATCTGCAGGAGGGAAAACAACAAATTCATGGATTACATTTACTTTTATTTTTATCATCCTAAAGTAAAGAATTTTAATTATTGCTCATAAGAAATGAAAATGTTAATTGAGCTTAAACTTATTGATTTGAAATTCCATTATGTATATTGGGTTGGAAACACATTTTAATTTACTCACAGTGTAAAATACAACAGATAAGGGATCTTTTTGGTGTAAGCTTTAATGTAAACAAAAGCAGCATGGGTCAGAAAACTAAAGATTTTATCTGTTTTCTCATTTTTTTTTCTCTTTTTCTACAAGAACTTCTGTGACATCTCTCATGTTTAAGTATTTACCAAGTAAAAATGTTAACACATCATGAGATTTAATTCCTCAAAATGTTTTTTCTTTTTAAATAAGATACCAGTTACAAGTTTAGGGCTTTTTTTTTTAAGTTCGAATTTTAAGTATATTTTAAATTGTGAAGAAATGATTATAATAGACTTTCACAGCAATATAAAGTCATCATGAATCTCATATAACTTCTTCAAAGGGATGACCAAGGTCAAAGTGGGTAAAGAAGACTCATCATCCACTGAATTTGTAGAAAAACGGAGAGCAGCTCTTGAAAGGTAATTCTAGACTGCTATACTTTATTACTGTCATGTTTGTACTTTACTATAAATGTAATTCCATTATATGGCACAACTGTGTTTTAATGATTACATTTTTTCCAAAGTACCACTTGATGGCTCTTAAAACTGCTTTAAACTTTTTTAAGAAAATTACTTCTTTCAAGAACATACTGTATAATTGTTCTATTTTTATTAATTATCATCAGTAGTCTGACAAAATAACACCTGTTTTTCTATTATATGTTACAAGCAGGAGCATTTTATAGAAAACATATAAAGACATGAATTAGTTGGGGATAGAATTATATCATAGGTAGTCACCAAGAGTACTAAGAAACTGCTGAACTTGGGAAACATGGAAATTGTGAATGGGAAGAAAGATAAAAATATGTGGATAAAAATAATCCACTTTGGTATTATTTAGGTTTCTAGGAAGTTATACCACGTTCACGTACTGTGTTGGATGGTATAGCTAATTATAGGTCGTCTAGTTTTTCTGATGAGTTACTTGGTAAGAACATTATTAAATACAATGAGAAGTACAGTTTGTACCCCCTCATTTTTGTATACTTGATTTTTACTTAAATGTACAAAAGTATTAGTCTTTGCTTGAGTTGACTGTATACAGTTGGCCCTCCATATCTGTGGGTGTCTCATTTGTGGATTCAACTAACTGTGGATGGAAAATACTTGAAAAAAATAATTACATCTGTACTAAATATGCACAGATGTTTTTGGTCATTATTGTCTAAACAATACAGTTTAAGAACTGTTTTCATAGTATTTTCATTATATTAGGTATTCTAAGTAGTCTAGAAGTGACTTAAAGCATAAGAGTATGTATATAGGTTATTATGCAAACATTACACCATCTTATATCAGTAATTTGAACATTTGCAGATTTTGGTATCCTTAGGATGTCCTGGAATCCATCCCCTACTGATAACAAGGGACTATACTTAAAGACTAATATATATCTGTTTTCCTTTAGAGTACTTGACTCTACACATTTCCTATAGCTTTGAAGACTTATCTGCATTGAGGCAGACTAAAAGGGGAATGGATGGGAGGATGGGAAGTATCCCACTTCCATAATCTTAAAAATTTATTCTTGAAAAAGTGAGAAAACAAATTTAAATAATCTTAAATCCCAGCATTTAAGATACAAGTTGGTAGTTACCTTGGCTTGAAACTTTCTAATTTCATTGTTTGTTTGTTCTTTATTTTTATTTTTTTTTCTTTTTATAAAGTTTTATTGGAACACAGCCATGTTCATTCACTTATGTATTTGTCTATTTTTCTGTTTTTTTGAGATGAGACACTTGGCTAATCTTGTATTTTTAGTAGACACGGTGTTTCTCCATGTTGGGCAGGCTGGTCTCCCAACTTCTGACCTCAGGTATCTACCTTCCTCAGTCTCCCAAAGTGCTGGGATTACCAGCATGAGCCACCTCGCCCAGCTCCCTGTTCTTTATTTTTCTCTGGCTTAAAAATCAATGGTTAGGGTGGATAGGACAGGTCTTGGGGGTGGTATCTATTTCTCTAGGTCACAAATTATTTTTTTATAATTTGTGAAAAACTATTTCAAGGCAACTTACTTCTGGTTTTCGGTAGTAAATTATTTAAATTTTAAGAAAAATGCCACAGAGAAGTTAGATTTGAACAATTTAAGAAAAGCTAAAGAATATGTAGTTTAAAATCTTATATTAGAGAAGACTTAAAGATGGGATTATGTCTGTGAGAATCCGCAGTTACCCATAAAAAGGATTTAAATTGCATCAAGAGAAATTTAGATTAGGCATTTGAATTGATTCTATTGTAGAAGAGGTCTTAGACTGAATATTTTTAAGAATAAAGGTAGATAATGGTCTGCCTTGATTTTGCTTAGTCTTTCCTGAAAATGTAACCATGACCCTTTGAGAAACCTTTCAAGTCTTATTTTTCTATGAGCAAATTTGAAGTATTTCAGATGGCATGCTTGATAAGGAACTTAATGAAGATTTATTGTACCAAGGACATATAATTTGATTCTACATTTACCTTTCTTCTAACTTGACTGCATTGCATAGTACTTACCATACCTTTGTGTAGTGTGAAATGTTGAGAGTTTTAAGGGATATTGAAACTTGACCCCAGTGTGTGTATAAAGACACTTGGTTTACTAATAAATGTTACTTGTTAAATGCTGCCACAGTGGAATTTGCAATAGTGAAAAAAAGAAACAGTATTGTATGAGGGAGAAGTTCATTTTCAATTAGAAAAAAATTACTAAAGACAATATAGGCATTAAGATTATAGAAGGAAAGGAACTGGAATGATTTCTTTTAATCTAAATTCTTCTATACAAGCCAAATTTCCTGTACACATGTATTTTTTAATCCATACAGGATTTTAAAACTGCATTTTTCTTACCCTTTCATATAACCAGCTTTTCTAAAGTGATTTTTCTGTGATTTTTTTTCTTCCCACCCCCTGTGATATTTCTTTTCTTTTCTTTTTTTTTCTAAAAAAGACATTTATTCAGCATCACAATCAGACTGTTATTACATTTAGCAATCAACATCATGGGTGCAAAAAAGAAAAAGAAAAAAATCTACATTAAAACCCTTTGTTGGAATGCTTTACACTTTCCACAGAACAGAAACTAAAATAGCCTATTATAAAATTAGTCACAAATACAGTCCTCGAGTTTTTTGCCTATACACATGAGTATTTGTCTAAATCATGTCTTTTTTGTAGCAGCTAGGCCCTGCCACTACTGTGCTTGGTTGAGTTCACAAATCTGTTGTAACCTGTAGCTTCCCTGTCACTTCTCTGGCTCTCCCCTCCTGCTAAGCTTTGCTTCCTAATTAAAATCTTCTGCCACTGCCATAGGTATTGCTGCTACTGGAACTGCCATAGCCACCTTGGTTTCGTGGTTTGGCAAAGTATTGGCCACCACCACCATAGGGGCCAGAGCTTCTGCCTCCAAAGTTTCCTCCCTTCATGGGTCCAAAATTTGAAGACTGATTGTTGTAACTGCCAAAATCATTGTAGCTTCCACCACCTCCAAAATTGCCTCCATCATTACCAAATTCATTATAGCCATCCCCAGTGCCACCATATCCACCATGGCTGCCACCAAAGCCACCATGACCACTGAAGTTTCCTCCATGACCAAAGTTGTCATTCCCACCGAAACCACCTCCACGACCACCACCAAAGTTTCCAGAACCACTTCGACCTCTTTGGCAGGATGAAACACTAGCCAGCTCTTGCTTTGACAGGGCTTTCCTAACTTCACAGTTGTATCCATTCACAGTATGGTATTTCTGAATGACAATCTTATCCACAGAGTCATGGTCGTCAAAGGTTACAAAGGCAAAGCCCCTTTTCTTGCCACTGCCTTGATCAGTCATGATTTCAATCACTTCATTTTTTCCATACTGTTCAAAATAATCTCTTAAGTGATGTTCTTCAGTGTCTTCTTTAATGCCACCAACGAATATTTTTTTTCACAGTTAAGTGGGCACCTGGTCTTTGAGAATCTTCTCTTGAGACAGCTCTCTTTGGTTCCACAACTCTTCCATCCACTTTGTGTGGCCTTGCATTCATGGCTGCATCCACCTCCTCCACAGTTGCATACGTGATGAACCCAGAGCCCCTGGAGTGCTTGGTGTTTGGATCTGTCATTACCACACAGTCTGTGAGCGTCCCCGTTGCTCAAAATGGCTCCTCAGGCTCTCTTTGGTTGTTTCAAAGCTCAACCCTCCAATGAAGAGCTTCCTCAGCTGTTCCAGCTCTTTTGGAGACTCTGACTTAGACATGATCACAGGGAGAACAGAGACTTTAACCATGCTTCTTCGGCGGAGTCCACAGGCCAATATTTCTTAAACTTTAAACATCAAATGGGTACGTCTGTGAGATACCCATCCTAGCTCGATCTGTGGGTTAGGGAAGTATTTTCTTTGTATTACTTTATTTAATAGTATGATGTTTATTTACATATTTGTTTGCTCAAACTTAGATAATCCAGATGGCTATCTTGAATGAAAGGATAAATATCTGGTATTAGAGGTTAGGACGAGAAAAGGAGTGCTTAAATACCCAAGTATTCCCCTGTGCCGCACTCAGTAAAGTAAGCAAAGACTAGTTCTATTAAGAGTATCCCTAACATCACTTGCTTGGTTTTCTTGAGAGTGCTTCACATCTTTAGATCATACTGAGTGTATTTATAGCTCAGGATACACATCTGCAAATATAAAATGAGAAATTTAGAGCATAATAATAAGTGTATAAGATTTAGAATTCCTTTTTAATTGAAACCTGAACTAACACTACACACTTTCTGTGTGACCTTGGGTAAATTACTTACATACATTCCTCTTTGAAGTGTAAGTGTGAGGCCGGGCACAGTGGCTCACCCCGGTAATCCCAGAACTTTGGGAGGCCGAGGGCAGATCACGAAGTCAAAAGATTGAGACCATCCTGGCCAACATGGGGAAACCCTATCTCTACTAAAAATACAAAAAATTAGGTGGGCATGATGGCGTGCACCTGTAGTCCCAGCTACTCAGGAGGCTGAGGCAGGAGAATCACTTAAACCAGAGAGGCAGAGGTTGCAGTGAGCTGAGATAGTGCCACTGCACTCCAGTCTGGCAACAGAGCAAGACTCCGTCTCAGACATGGTGGCTTATGCCTGTGATTCCAGCACTTTGGGAGGCCGATGCGGGTGGATCATGAGGTCAGGAGTTCAAGACCAGCCTGACCAACATGGTGAAACCTCGACTCTACTAAAACTACAAAAAAATTAGCCAGGCGTGGTGGCACACACCTGTAATCCCAGCTACTTGTGAGACTCAGGCAGAAGAATTGCTTGAACCTCAGGGATGGAGGTTGCAGTGAGCCAAGATTTTGCCACTGCACTCCAGCCTGGGCAACAGAGCAAGACTCCATCTCAAATAAATAAATAAACAAAGTTTAAGTGTGTCAGTTAGGATTGTGTTTATTTCAAGCATTTAAAAACCCATCTAGCCTTAACAGTTAATTTAGATTAACTAATTGACTTTCACATCAAAGAGTTTAGAGTAGGCAACTATTTTCAGGATTATCTAATTCATCAGGAAATTCTGTTGCTTCTTTCTGATGTCTGATAATAGAACCTTTTCTCACCATTCTACTGACTTTTAGTCCAAAGGTGTTAATTAACTGCAGTAGCCTCCTAATTGTTGTCTCTGCTTCCATTCTTGGCTCTTCTACTTTAATATAGAACTTACAGTAGTCATTCTAAAATATAAATTAGATCATATTAACCCCTCCCCACCCCAACCCCATTCCCCCATTTTACTTAATAAAAGCTAGAGTTCTTACAATGGACTACAAGACTCTATATGACCTGCGTTAGTCACTGTGTTACCCATTCGATCTCATCTCTTCCTTGATCACTCACTCTGCTTTAGGCCAGACTAACCATTTTACTGCTTCTCAAACACCCCGGCATTTTCCTACCTTACAAGTCTTTTTGACTACCTGCTCCCTCTGCCTAGAATGCTTTGCTCCTAGGTATCTGCATGACTAACTCATTCCTTGTTCAAGTTCAAATATTCAAATATCACCTTTCAAGTGAAGCCTATTCCAACGATTGACTTCCTTCTGACCTATTATATTTATATTGCCACCAACCACGTCTTAAATACTTGGTTCCATTTACCCCATTGTTCTTTTTTTCCCATAGTTTTTGCCACCACCTTGTCACCTACTTAATAATATGTATGTTTATAGATTATTGTCTATCTTGTACTTAAATGTAAGTTTCACCCAGGAAGGAAACTTAGTCTCTTTTGCTTGCTGATATATTCCAAGTACTCAGTACAGTACTTAATAGGTAGTAAGAACTTAGTATTTGTTGACTAAACAAGTCAGTGTCATCCAAGACCCAGACTCTTTCTACCTTTTTATTCTCCCACTATGTGCACTTGTGTTTTATTTTAAGCAAGATAAATATTTGTTAACTCTGTTGCTTTCACCACTTCTTACCTGGTGTGATATTGGTCAATTTCTTTGTTTTTCATTTCTTTTTTCAGTGTTTCAGTTTCTCCCCATACCTCTTTTCCTATCTTCTTCTTACTCTCATTTTCCCTTTTTATTCTTTCTTTCCTTTATATTACAACCATCTCTGGTCTTAATTCTGAATTGGTGTATGTTTATAAATATTGTTTTAAAATCCATTTTATGTTTCTTTTCTTTCAACGTTATATAAGCTTATATTTGTAAATGCATATAAGCTTATATATATGAGACGTGTAAACTAAAAAATATATGTATATATATTTCAGTTGTGCTTCATTTCATGTTGCCCTTAAGAAGGAAAGTTTTATGTCCTTTTTCTGGAATATCATTTTCAAAATTGATTCTTCAGAATGCTAATATGTAGTAGAATGAAAAAGATCTACAGTCAATTGAGTTTTGTTAACATAGGGTTTAACAAAGTTAAACTAGGGTTATTTTCTGTAGGAGTTCTCATAACACTTAATAAAATGCTGTTTGATATGAATTTTAAAGACAGGAATATATATATATTTCAAACTTTCTTGATTATGGAATCAGTCTTTTTCATGAATATTAAGTGAGACTAGTATTCTACAGAACTCACTTTGGAAAGTTGTTTTAGAATATAAATGATACAAGATATTTCCACTTAGGTTTGAAATATTGGAATATTTCTTAGAGATTAGGTACCATATGTTTTGTCTTTCTTGGATTTTTGTTTGTTTGATTTTTACAAATATCTGAAGGCCTGCTGTTATCCAGCTGTTGTATGCATTGAGATTAGCAACTTAAACAAACTGCCTTCAAGTAGTACTTAGTCGAAACAACTAAAAAACATATGTTGTGAGAAAACTTCAGTGTTAAAATTGTAAGTCAGATTCAAGTGGGAAAACACCAATATTTCTCAAACCTGCAGGATTAGTGTTCTCGCTGTATCCCATTTTTTGGCTTCACAATATAGGCAGCAAATATCTTTTTAAACCACAGCATAGATTGTATTGCAGATATCTGTTAAATGCTCCGGTTCTAGTATAATGACTTCTTATGTGGACTACTGACTTAAAATGAAATTTAGTATGCTGTGTATTTTATTTAAATTTATAAAAACAGAAGTTAACATTTTAATACTGATAAAATAGTCATTTTGATCAGTGTGTAGAATTTGCTGTTAGAGAAGCTGTCACTTTTTTGGGAACATGAATTTTAGGCATATTTTATAATCTTATAAAAAGGTAGAAGAAATTACTGACTGCATTTATTCTAAAGAAATAAATGTTATTGTAAGGTAAAAATATAGCTGAAATATTACTGCATGTAGTTATTAACCTGGAGGAAGATAGCAGTTGTTTTTAATGGGATTAGATGATTAATTGATAATCATCAAATAGTTGACCTTATTTCCTTTTATGAAATCATGATTGGTAGTTTATAATGGTTGACAGGTACATTTGAGCTTTTCTAATAAAGGGAAATTGATTTCATAGTGGTGTTTCTAAATGTTTATTTTTATTCATTTTATGTGGTATTCATTTATTTGATTTTATATGGTATCATATAGATAAGACACCAAAAATAGCAAAACCTTAAAAATAGAAATATTGAATAAATGCCTTTGAAGAGATATGGGGAAAATATTGAAGAAAATTTAGTTCCTGTCAGGTGAGAACCAAAGCTAATTGTGATCATTTAAATATGCTGAGATGCAAAAAAATACTTGCAGACTCTCTTCCCCATTTTGGTGATAATAGCAATTTAAAACTTGGTTGAGTATAATATATATAATGATATTAGTATGTTTCTTAGAACTCTAAAATTATAGTTGAGAACATAATGACTCCACCAAAAGATAAAATTATTCAACAAACTCACATGCTCCTTTATAACATTAATACTTTGCCGTAAGAAGTTTGCTCTCCCCACTCCCACCCCCTACCATTTCTCTTTTTACATAATTATGGAAACTGCATGATATATCGATTTTCAAAAGATGAAAAAAACCTTTATAATTATTAAGTTACTGTAAGATTCTAAGTAATTACAGTGAGAACAGACTAATAGGAGGTGCTGAGGACATCTTTTTTCCTAGAATTTCTATTTTTTATTATTTCGTCGAAATATAATTCAAGATGCTACTGATAAAGGAGCCATTTTACTCTTAAATCTAGGTATCTTCAAAGAACAGTAAAACATCCAACTTTACTACAGGATCCTGATTTAAGGCAGTTCTTGGAAAGTTCAGAGGTATTATTTCTATATTAAATTTTTATATATAAATGTTCTCTTTTTTTGTCATTGTAATACTTTACATGACTACATATATAATAAATAATAGGAGCAATAGGTGGAATAAAGCAAGGGTTTTTTTGTTTGTTTGTTTTTTGTTTCGTGATTTAATTATCTTGCTAAATTAGAAGCAAAATATCTTTGCTTTGATACTTATAGTATGGTTAGTCCCTTTCTTGAACACTTAAAACAAGATTTAAGGGGATGGTTTACAAGTACTCTGAATGCCCTAAGTTGTTCCTCAGGCATCATGTTGAAATAAGTTTATTCAGACTTCATTTTAGAGAAAAAGAAAGTTGAATGTGTATTTGCTTGTCTACATTCTGATATCCTTTTTAAGGTTTTGAAATGCTTATTTGTGACTTGAAAGAGCCTAAATTATAACCATGATGCTCTTTGTATTTGAAATGTTTGGTGTATTTTGGGCTTCTAAGAACAATTTGAGTTGTAGTTTGAGTTTTTTTTTTTTCTTTAATTTACTTGAGTTGCAGAATGTTTTAAAAACTCAAAATCACACAATGCTAACTGAGCATAAAGAGATTTTTCTCAAGACTTTCTTCTTTCCTTATAAAAAGTTCATTTATGTTAGCAAACAGGTGGCCAGTGTTAGGGTACCTGGCGATTTCTTAATATATTTTGACAAACAGGGTGTTTGTTCCATCTAAATGTAAACGTGCAGAAGAAAAGCAAATGGAAAGTCTATTTTTTAAGTTTTCCTTTGAGAATGTACAAGTACTATATTTGAGAAATTAGATCTCACTATTGAAATGTATGAGAGTGAAGAAAATACAACCTCCTTTTTTAAAATTTTTTGTGTGTGGTGGAGAGAGAAGGGGGGATCACTTTTGTGCCCAGTTAAACCTCTAGGCTTTTAACCGGTTTGTTTGCCCTTATTTGTCATTCAATTCCAGCTGCCTAGAGCAGTTAATACACAGGCTCTGAGTGGAGCAGGAATATTGAGGATGGTGAACAAGGCTGCCGACGCTGTCAACAAAATGACAATCAAGATGAATGAATCGGATGCAGTAAGAGCTGATTTTTCGACTTGAATAATGAGATGAATTAATGAGCCCAACAATTGCATTTTAAAGCTGTACAAGTGGAAAATAGGATATTAATTTGCTTATTGAGTTCAGTTCTCAGCCACATCAGTTGGCCACCATGGTTATACATGGTTAATTTGTTGCTTTAAAACAAGGAATGTAGCTTGCTATTGGTAACCTAATTTACAATGGTTTGTTCTTTCTAAATTAGCTCCATTTTTCATTTTTTTCTTAGTGGTTTGAAGAAAAGCAGCAGCAATTTGAGAATCTGGATCAGCAACTTAGGAAACTTCATGCCAGTGTTGAAGCCTTGGTCTGTCATAGAAAAGGTTTGTTTGCCTTGTTACTTATGTAGTTAGCACCATAAAACTAATTAAAATATTTTATTTAAATTTTATGTAAATATCTGAAGTTATTGCAGAAGAGAGAAAACAGTCATTTAAGAGAATGTTTTCTATTTCAACTTTATTATTTAAAGTTTTTGTTCTATTTTGATCTAATATCTAGCAGTAGAAAAATAATGAGCGTATAAAACTATTTGTTAACTGGTACAGATAAGAGCTAACAAAAGAACAAAGAAAACTGTATTTGAATTTTGGATTAAAACTTGGTCACTTGATTAACTCTTTGTTAAGTAAAGTTACAGTTAAATGGATGAAGATGTCATCAATTAGCAATTTATTGTAATAAAAATACTTGAGATTCAAAAATTGCTTTTTGAAAATTTTTTGGAAAGTATTTGTTCTGTGCCTCTATTTTCTGTAAAATCCTTTGAAGTATTTTTATTTTTGAACCACAATATTTGGTTTTTCTAAAAATATAGAAAATTTGAGTTGTAATATTTTAATCTACAGTGAAATTATAGTTTTTTGGTTTATTTTTAAAGAATCCAGTGATTTTAAATATCAATTGTCCATAATATTTAATAAGTAAATACTCTGTAACATTACCAGCAATACATTTTATTAAGGTAAGTATGGAAACTTACTAATACACTTATTGAAAGTAGTTTATAACAGCTTTTGCTCTTTGAATTATATATCTCTTAGGGAATGGGCTTTATGGCTCTTTTGGAGAACTTTGCATAACATAGAGCAACAGAGCAAATTCCAGACAATGTAATTGTTAGTTGTGGATAGTATTTAGCCTGTAAACATCTTTTCTTTATTTGAAATATCTGAAATGATCACATTCTAAATCTTTTTAGAAATTCTAATATTTTACTGAGCATTGTTGTACAACAAAGAAAAAAGACAATAAAAGTTATGTTAATTATATATATAATTTTACCTTTTTTCATTAGCTAAATAATCTTCTCATTAAAAATTATATACATTATTTTCAATGACAAATGTTTAAAGGCCAGAAATGTATAAATTAATTGTGAGTATTGCCAGTGCTTCTCATATTAAAAATAAATTTCATTTTTAGGAATGAACAGAGAAACAGTGAACACTGTGGGAGAATATAGAAGAGGCAGATTTTTATATTAAATGATTTAAACATAGTTTATCCACTTGGAAAATAAGCAGTGATTTGTCTTAGTTTTCAGTAGATCTCTGAGCACTTGGCATTTATGCCTGAAGCATTTTAATGTCTAATTGTTTCATATTAATTAATTTAAAAATTATTTGAGCAACTTGTGAATAGGTAAAATTTAGAGAAAAGTTGAAAAATCAATACAATATTTTTAGATTTTACTAATGAACACTAAAAGTACATATGTTTTTTATTTCAGAACTTTCAGCCAACACAGCTGCCTTTGCTAAAAGTGCTGCCATGTTAGGTAATTCTGAGGATCATACTGCTTTATCTAGAGCTTTGTCTCAGCTTGCAGAGGTTGAAGAGAAGATAGACCAGTTACATCAAGAACAAGCTTTTGCTGACTTTTATATGTTCTCAGAACTACTTAGTGACTACATTCGTCTTATTGCTGCAGTGAAAGTAAGCCCTTTCTTACATTCTTCTCACTTTTCTCATGTGCTTTAAAAAGTATTTTGTTTCCTATTAGTTATGTATTTATCTAAATTCCTCATATACTAGCACAAATAAAATGGCTTCAAGATAAGTATCCATAACTTAATACTTTCCTCCCTATGACTTGCACAGTACAATAGACAGAATTAATGTTTTTAACAGGTCTAAGGAACGATAGATAAGATAGAAAACATTACACATTTACTTATGTATTTGCTTATACAAGTTTGTAACTAACTGATAGCATTCATTTGCTCATTCTAGCACTAACCGAGACTACTCATTGGACTCTATTATCATTAGTAAAGCTGACTGTGTAATGAGTGGGATAAAACCAGAAATGATCATTGCAGTGAATATGTTTAATTGGGATTTTATCATGAATTTGGATGTAATAAGACTTTCTGTTTGTATACTCAAATGTGTAATCACCATGTATTTATAGATGAGATTGGACTCGATTAGATCATAACTTGTGTTATTGAATGGTAATACTTAAATAAATAGTCCAATTTCTGAACAGTTGAGAAAGTAATCCAGTTAATAAAAATTAGTATTCTACAGATATCTCCAGTATTCAGATAGTTAAACTGAACTGAACATTACTCCATGTGTCATGTTTCAGAAGATACTTTAAGATCTTTGAATTATTGTTATAGATATTAGTTACAGGGTTGGGGGGTACTGGGTATTTACCTTTTACCTTGAATTTAAGCATCTAGAAAGTTAATGAGACCTTATTTCTTTCTTATGCAAAATTTTTTCAGCTAAAGTCTGTGATCAAGTTAGTACTCGTCTGCGATGAGTGTATTTATTGATGGTTCTGTTCTCAAGCTACTGGTGACATTTATTACTAGAGCATTCTTAGCAATTCGGAATGGTGCTTTTACTTATTTGATCAAATTGCCAATTCTACTTGTATTTCTTGTTCTAAATGTTATTCCTTATGCTGTTGGTAATTAATTTTTCAGTATTTAGAAATGCTAATGTAGATAGCAGTTGTCAGAGTATACTTCATTATATACAGGCAGCTTGTGATGTATGGAGATCTAGTTTACAGATTTGTTCCACCTACTCTCACTTCTTACCAGAGCTCCCAGTAGCATGAGAACCGTTATAAAAAAAGTGTGACACTTCCAAAAAACCTGTGGCTCAAAAAAGGGAGATTGGGCAGTGTCTCTAACAGTACATACCTGGTAATAAGAGCTAGCCTGGAAAGAGACCCCCTGGCAGTGATGGCCTGCCTGTGTAATGGATACTGATCCCTCAGAAACAGCTTTCCTCATACCCTAAGTCTTTTTGCTATATTATTATATTTCATGAAATTATAGTTGTATTAATGTTTTCCAAAATATTTTCTATAGAACACTGGCACCAAAAGATTGATTACAGTTAGCTAAGTTTGGGAATTTACTTATGTTTACAGTATCCCTGTTTGCGAGATTCAGAATGCATTTTAAAAGCTCAGAACTAGCTAGGAATGAAAAAAGAATATAAATTTTAATCCAGAGGTTTCTAAAGTCATATGAACAAGAATTATTTTCCACTAAATATCTATTTACATACATGGAACACATTCGGGGAAATACTGAATTAATGATTCATTGACTGAAAGAGTTAAAGAGCTGTGGTCAAGTTGCCTTTAGGTAAATTAAGCTCTTTAAGATTGGTTTCTACTGAAATGTAGCTTAGATCAACTGCACAAAGTAATTGAGATGATATGGAAGGAGGTGACAGGTAATTTTTATGGTTTTTATTTTTGTCTTATTCTCTGTTTTAAACTAATTTATTTGTATTTGAAAAAATGATGCATGTACATGACAGTTTTAATGGCCCAGCAAGGTAAATTTCCCTGCAGAACTAAGACCTGTAGTCTCTGACCTCAGTCATAAACTATTAGATTCTTATGTGTCTTTACAGAAGTAGCTATGCATGTACCTAAAACTGATTCTCTTCGTCTTTCTGTTTATTCCTTCCGTCCCCCTTCTCTCCCTCCCTTCCTTTCTCAAAAAGGAATACACTGCCTGTACTGTCCTTTGTCTGCCTTCTCACCCACTCCTCTTATTAGCGCAGTCTCCCTATCAACATAGGTAGATGTCTTTTTAATGGTGGTATAGCATTCCATCATATAACATTTAGATGTTCCTTGAATTATAGTCTAGTCTTTAAAAAAATCAGGTATTTTGATAACTCTTTGGTCATAAAGATTCTATAATTAGAAATGCTGACCAAAGGTTATAAGCATTTTAAATTTTAGCATTGCCAAATTACTGTTCAAAGAGATTTTACTTTGTGCCCTAACTAGTACGTGTTTCTTTTTACTACCACCCAAGAATGAAGGTGTTTTTTTTTGTTTTTTTTTTGTTAAGTTGTCATTTACTCAGTGTGAATCAAGGCATCTTTACAAATGATAAGCCATTTACATTTCTTTTTCTGTGAATGAGCTGTTCAAGACCTTTGCCCCATTTTTGTTTGCTTATTATCTAATAGCTGCTTAATATTAATTAACTTTTAGTTTCATATCTATCGAGAGTACTTTTCTGATGATAATTCTGCAAGTTAGGAGTACTTTGGGAATTAATATAGAGCCATTGTTGGGAGCAGAGAACATCAGGAATTAGAACACAAAAGAAAAAGCTAAATTTTACCCGTTTCAAAATATTGCCTAAGTCTGGCTTTGTATCAGGAAATTCCTGTTTTCCTCTTTTGTACAGTACATGGCCTCTGAAATTTAGAACTACAGGTTTTGGCTGTATCCTTATAAGCATTGTCATGTATTGGGCTTCTGTGAACCATTTCTAAAGTAGGGTCAGAGATTGAGGGCAATGGTTCTTAATGTTTTTAGCACTAGAACTCTTTATAAGTAATTTTTGTAGGGGATTCCAATTTATAAAACATATTGAATTTTTTTTTTAACTAAAATATGGGTTCCCCAAAGGTTTTAAATGCTTTGTTGTTTGGCTATAAATACTCAGCACCTCTTCAGAACTCCATAAAACTGGGCAGCGTATTTTCAGATTAACTGAATTAGAATATGGTAACAATTAAAATTGTAGCATCAAATTTCCTGATGGGCCAAGAAAATTGTTAGACATCTGCAATCTTATCTAACCTAGACCAGCTTGCATACAAATGTATGCCATAAACTGGCAAGGGAATAAAGGTCCTACATGGATGATCAGTGTAAACTTATCCCTCTTCTAATGATTCTACTAGAGTAGATTAGTATCTTGGCATACAAAGGGAAACATTGCTACAATTTAATTGATTTAATTAATTGTTAGAAGTTTGACTGTGTTGCTTGTTCTTTTTTTCTTTTATTTTCTATTATTTTGTTACAAAGGAAAGAAAATGAGGAAAAAGTTAATTTGTATATTTAAGATTTTTTTTTTTTCCTGAAATAACCTGATTTTAGTATTCTTATCTTTATCATAGCTCCTGCATCTACACAATAAACATGTCCTGGTTCTGGAATACTATGAGATAATAAATTGGACAGGGAACAAATTAGTTTAGATTTAGCATATCAATGAAAAAGCCAGTTGATATACATTAAGAATGTAAGCAAATTTTGAATTAAAGGGTGTTTTTAACCTTTTTCTTTTATTGGTACATATTTTAAGGAATCAAATTGTTATTGAACAGAGAAATTTAGAAACGAACAGATATGGCCCTGTTCCCCTAAAGCGAGACTAGGCCTAAAATCTTAAATTACTTTTTGGTTGGTTGTGTGTATGGTGTGTGTGTCTGTGTGTGTGTGTGTCTGTGTGTCTGTGTGTGTCAGAGGTGAGAGGGATTGTTTGTCTCAGATCAAGCCTGTTCAATATGCAGCCCAGGACAGCTTTGAATGCAGCCCAACACAAATTCATAAACTTTACTAAAATGTCATGAGATTATATATATATATATATATTTTTTTTTTTTTTTTTTTTTTTTTTCTTTTAAGCTCATCACCTGTTAGTATATTTTATGCTTGATCCAAGACAGTTCTTCCAGTGTGGCCCAGGGAAGCCAAAGGATTGAACACTGCTGTTTTAAATGATAGTTACTTTTTCTCAATTTGTTTGTGTTAGATGTGTTACTTTTGGATTTTACCTTAAATTAATTTGACTAAAGCAAAGTTAATTTATAATAAGGGATGTTTTAGGAAAAAATGTGGTCTTAAATACAAGAAAAGCAGACAAAGGGGTTGGTAAGATTTACTTACTAATATTATCTGAGATAAATTAAATAATAGCAGAGTGGATTTAAATACCCCTAGATACGGTGCTTTGACTTGCCAGTTTGCCCTGGATATCTGTTGTCCTGGTTAATTTAAAATGTTCACGATCTGTAAGAATTCTTTTGGAAAAATAGGAAAAATACTTTGGTTTCTGGTTGATTGGATTTTTTAATGTTATCACATTTTTAAAAAATTGTCATATGATATAAATGCTGTTTAATTATACATTTTTTCCATAATACTGAGCTATCCTTTGTACTTTTAATAGAAAGCTTAACAGTTTATAACTACATTTACATGTGTATGTTATTTAGAAGTAATCCACAATAGCTGTACTTACTGATTATTAAGCATCCACTAGGTTAAGTCACTATGCAATAATATACTCGTTATGTTATTTCTAATCCATAAATGTAGACATCACTTCCCACCTCTTATATTTGGGAGCATTATAGCTTGGAAAAGTCCAGTGAATTTACCCATGGTCATACAGTGACAAAACTAATAGTAGAACCAAATTTGATTTTCTCCAAAGCCTGCTTTTAAAAAAAATACGCTATCTCCATATTTTTCTCTTCAGGAGATCCCTATAGGAACATGTAGTTTTTACTGCTTCATGGTTCAAAAACTTTTTTATTTGGAATAAATTAAAATAACTGGTTTAGTGCTTCCTGATTCACCCAATGTATTGTTTATTTCATGAATTTTTGATTAGTAATTACTAAAATAATTTTAATATTTCTCATCAAGCCAGAAAGGGGATTCTTAGTGGGTTCTTCCATGCTATCTATGATGTTTTTTCATGAGACTGCTAGTTACCTTAATTTGTCCATATTTCATTTCTTTTCTCTATTCATTTGCTCTTGCTCTGCCGGACTCCTTGAGAAAAGTCATGGATTTGGTTGACTTACTGTATTAGGATCTTTTGTCTATTTCTTCTTTAGTTCTGCAGTGTATACATAATATATATATAGTCATCTTTTCATCTTTTGCCCTTTTCATCTTGTGTAAGATTATCTTTTTTTCATTTTGATATATTTTGCTTTTTGATTGCTTTTCTTTTTATTTGCTGTTATTTTTTCTACCGCATATCTTATGAGTGTTTCCCATTTTGTCTTTTCAGTTTCAGACATGTTTCTAACACTTAATATGCTTCTAATAATATTTAGCAGGAAAATTTCCAGTGTAGATATGACACTAGCATTTTCCTATTAAAGACATCTTCCTTCAAAGCATAAAACTCTTAGAAATCTTTTTATAAACCATATTTAAAGGCTAAAGGCTAGTGACGAAATGGATTTTGAATGTAGTTTTTTATTCTGAGTGTTCATGTTTCATCCATTGACAGGGTTTTTTGTTTTAAGCAGGTGAATATGGACATTATTTTCTTTGATATTGGCATGCTTATTTTCAGTATCTTAGTATATTAGAGTAGCACTTAAATACTTGATTTTATTGCTTTCTGTATTATAATACTTCTAGTGTTATGAAAGTATTTTAAATGTTACGCTTACTTAGTAGCATTATGTCATTCACTTATAGGGTGTGTTTGACCATCGAATGAAGTGCTGGCAGAAATGGGAAGATGCTCAAATTACTTTGCTCAAAAAACGTGAAGCTGAGGCAAAAATAATGGTTGCTAACAAACCAGATAAAATACAGCAAGCTAAAAATGAAATAAGAGAGGTGATTACTAAATGCTTTATCTCTTTACTTAAATTTTTCATGAGTCATTCATATATACATAATTTTTCATAATTTTTTTCTAAACCATTCAACATGTGGCTATTTTTGCATATTTTAATGAACTGTGTTAGAAGTACTTTAAAATTTTGATCATTATTAAAATCTCCAGAGCCCTTTGTTACTACCTCCATGTGATTATGGAATGGATAAAGAAGCATACAGGAAAACACCTAAAATTAACCTTTACATTAATAATTACACAATTCTTATTAGATGGTTAATTTGATTTCAGATAATTATTTTGTGTCTAAAAATGGTTTTAGAGTTAGATCTATCCCACATTTAGCTGTCCAGGCGACATTATCCCCCATATATATGTATTATATATGGTATTTTAGTGAATTTGTATAAGTTTATTATAATTTATACACTTTTCTTACCATGCTTCAATAAGGAAATTGAAGAGGTAGGACAACCTTTATATTACTAAAAATAAATGTACCTGCTCTTTGAAGAGTATGTACCAGTGTTTTGGTTACATAGTGGGAAAAATATCATTTCATTGCTTAAATCTTCAGTTATTTTAGTTGTTCCATTGTTCACTAATCACAACATTTCGTTGTTTCTGTACTGAATTTAATATTTATTGATGGTCTTCAGTACACCATAATTCCACATTTTTTTTATTCTGGTCATTTTACCATTACAAAAACATTTTTAGAATGTTTATTATGTAATTTTCCTAATTTAAAGTATTTCCATCAGCATATAAATTTTGATGAACACATATCCTTCGACTTAACAGTAGTAATATATTCTGAAGTAATTACTGATATAAAAAAGTAATTAAGAAAATCACGCTGATCATTTATTTTGTGGTGAATTTTATGCCCAAAATCTTTCCTCTTAGTTATATTTAATTAAGCTTTGGACATTGTAGTTTATTAAGTACAGTATTGAAATATCTTAATGTTGAGTAAATTTGCCTGTGGAATATTAATGGAAATTAAGCTAACATGCCTATTAGTCGAATTGTGCTTTGCCAATGTTGAGCTTTCTCAGGTTTTTGAGGCATTGTGATTAAATGAAGTAAGTGGTCATGACAGTACTGTACTTTTTTTGAGCTAAGCATAAAATATTTCTTTGTTTGTTTTTATTAGTGGGAGGCGAAAGTGCAACAAGGGGAGAGAGATTTTGAACAGATCTCTAAAACGATTCGAAAAGAAGTGGGAAGATTTGAGGCATGTATAATAATTTTGCATTTTTCTCAACAACATGGTCACATTTTGCTGCAATTTTGTGGTAAAATTTAGTTTTCTACTAACGGACTTTTTAAAATGTACTTCAACAGAAAGAACGAGTGAAGGATTTTAAAACTGTTATCATCAAGTACTTAGAATCATTAGTACAAACACAACAACAGGTAAGCCATTTTTGTTTGTAACTTAAACTTCTAGAATTTGTTTTTGCTATATATTTTTTTATTTTAAAAAGATGATTAATGAACTGGGCTTTTAAAGTCAAGAATAAGAAATGGAAGACAGAAAGCCAGTGATGGTAAAGCAAAAAAGGATAAATTAATTGGAAACTGTCTTAGGTTCTTTTTGCAGAGATACAGTTTTCCCAATTTTAAGCCATCAGAAACCTCATGGGCAACTTTCCCCTTTCACTGTCTTTCTAGTTTGTTTCCTTGTTGGTCAGACCTGTTTGAGTAAATTCTCAATAGTAAGTTCTTCTTTTCCATAACAGATAGAACTTAAACACCTTTTCAGAATTTTTGAAAAATGTACCGTTTTCATTTTTGCTTTATTTTGTTTGGGGTTGTTGGTGGTTGAGTGCTGCAAGTGGCATCTGTCTCCTTTACCATGAATTTTAGTGGTACATTAAATAAAAAGATAATTGCCGAAAATTTTCCTATATATTTTAATGTAAAATTGGAGTAACAGGTCAAGTAATTTAATATCTTGTATAGAAGGGTTTTTTTCTTCCCGTTTTTAAATATGTGGATCTAGAATGTTGTGTAAAATATAATAGGTTGTTTTTGAATTAAGCAGTAAGATGTCTTCTAATTGTCTTTAGTTTTTATTTAAACAGTTCATAAAGTTAGATTTTTTAAAATATCAAAATAAGTCATATAAGCTTGTTTTTAAAGGAATTATTTTAAACATGACTTCAGTTTATATTTAAAACTGTTCTCTGGACTATTCAAGGAAGACTGACAGCTAATTCTCTCCAATCCTTTTTTTTTTCTTGTTCAGTATTTTCTTTTCTTCTTTCTTATATCCCATTCTTGTCTAGCAACAACATAAAATGTCAATATGCTCTGATTTGGGAAATCTTATCACTTTATGCTGGAAAAGGTCATTGTAGTTGTATTATTTAAGGTAATCTTTAATATATGGTAACACTGTTCTATGTAAAATCTTGCATAAATCAAAAAATTGTACATTTAAAAATTCTATTATTTTACATCAAAAACTAAAATTAGTCAGGAGTAATGTTTTAAATAATTTATTTATGAAACATATTGATGGACTTCAGATAAGGAAGTTAAAATTATTTCTTTAAGAACCAGACATTGACCGGGCGCAGCAGCTCACTCCTGTAATCCCAATACTTTGGGAGGCCGAGGTGGGTGGATCACCCGAGGTCAGCAGTTCAAGACCAGCCTGGCCAACATGGAGAAACCTCGTCTCTACTAAAAATACAAAAAACTTAGTTGGGCCTGGTAGCACGTGCCTGTAATCCTAGCTACTTGGGAAGCTGAGGAAGGAGAATTGCTTGAACCCAGGAAGTGGAGGTTGCAGTGAGCTTCAATCACATCATTGCACTCCAGCCTAGGCAACAAGAATGAAACTCTGCCTGGAAAAAGAAAAAACAGACATTAGTAAATATTAGTCATTGTTAGTTAGTGATTTACATAGTTTTTTTAGTGTTGTTTTTGTTTTCATTTGTTTTTTTGCTTTGTTTTGTTTTGTTTTGTTTTTTTGAGATGGACTCTTGCTCTGTTGCCCAGGCTGGAGTACAGTAGCGCGATCTTGGCCCACTGCAACCTCCATCTCCTGGGTTCAAATGATTCTCCTATCTCAGCCTCCCAAGTAGCTGGGATTACAGGCACATGTCACATCGCCCAGCTAATTTTTCTATTTTTAGTAGAAATGGAGTTTCACCATGTTGGCCAGACTGGTCTCGAACTCTTGACCTCAGGTGACCCACCCACTTTGGCCTCCCAAAGTGCTGGGATTACAGATGTGAGCCACCCTGCCTGGCCTATATAGATTTTTTTTAAATGCTGTACAGGATATATGCATATAAATGACAAAAAGATAATAACGTATTTTAATTATCATTCACAGCTGATAAAATACTGGGAAGCATTCCTACCTGAAGCCAAAGCCATTGCCTAGCAATAAGACTGTTGCTGTTAAGAAGACCTTGGATGTTGTTCCAGTTAGGCTGAGTTCCACAGTGAAATCATTTAAAACCATCTAAAACCACTATATATTTTATGAATTACACGTGGTTTTACACACACACACACACACACACACACTGACATTTTATTACAAGCTGCATGTCCTGACCCTCTTTGAAATAAGTGGACTGTGGCATGACATTCTGCAATACTTTGCTGAATTGAACACTATTGTGTCTCAAATACTTGCACTAAAAAGTGCACTGCAAGACCAGAAAATATTACAATATTTTTTTCTTTACATGTTCTGTAATATGTTTACCCTCTTTATGAAGTGAATTATCAATGCACTGATAAATGTTCACTTATACATTCCTGTACAGAAATTATGATTTTGTGATTACAGTAATAAAATGATATTCCTTGTGAAATACTAGTAACAAATTATTTGGGTATTTAAACATATTAGGAATCTTTTCCAAGCATTTTTAGTAGGAAGAAACTTTTTCTTCTAGATGTATATAAGTGATGCTATGATTCCTTAATTATTTTAATTGACAAAAAAAGCTGAACTCATATTATTGAATTACTAAATGAAGCTTAAGTTTTCTTATGAAACCATCATAAATCAAAGAACATTTGTCTCATGATTGTCTTTGGTAAAGAAGAGAATAATTGTCTTTGCTTGTTTTTAACCATCCATATTACAAGTGCCCAATTTAAGAAATAGGAAAAAATGTCTTTATATACTTTGGTTACAAGTCCCATGGAGTTTGTTCATCTTCTCCTGTTGTCTTCAAAATGTAGTATTTCGCATATATTTAATTTATTCCTTGTCTTTTGTTTTCTTTTAAAACTAAAAGTATATCATCTATGCTTACAGTTGACAAGGAATGATACCATGCTAAAATAGACCATGATTTGATGAATAAGCAAGCATAACACAAAGCAAATTTGCAGTGAAATTTACTTTGCCTTGGGCAATGTTTTTACCCAATTCTGTATGCTACTTAGACAGCTGTTATCTAGTCCTTAATGCTGATGAAAATTTAAGTTATGGCCGGTGCATTGGCAACACTTTGGGAGGCTAAGGTGGGTGGATCACCTGAGGTAGGAGTTCAAGACTAGCCTGGCCAACATAGTGAACCCCTGTCTCTATTAAAAATAGAAAAATTAGCCAGGCTTGGTGAGGTGTGCCTGTAGTCCCAGCTACTTGGGAGGCTGAGGCAGGAGAATCACTTGAACGAGGAAGGCAGAGATTATAGTGAGCTAAGATTGTGCCATTGCACTCCAGCCTGGGAAACGAGGGAAAATCCATCTCAAAAAAAAAAAAAAGAAAAGAAAATTTAAGGTATGACTGGCAACAGAGTTACTTTTTTAAAAAAAATATTCTTACCAACACCCCTCTTCTTGATCTTAACAACAACATCTCCTTTTCAGAGGAGCAAGATATGGTATGTGTAACTAAGTCCTCTCTAGTGAGTCACTGGATACAATTTATATATCAAAGTATCCTTAGCCTGTGTTTGCCTCTATTTATTTTAGTTGAAATGTTACGCTTTCTATAGGTGTTACTCATATTTATACTCCTAGACCCCAGAAGAGTGGCTGATACATTATAGGTTAATAAAAAAGGCTTGATGGACTAGGCAAAGTGGCTAACCTGCCTGTAGTCCCAGCTTCTCGGGAGGCTGAGGCAGGAGGATCTCTTGATTCCAGGAGTTTGATGCTGTAGTGCACTATGATTATGCCTGTGAATACCCACTGTTCTACAGCCAGCCTGGGCAACATAGTGAGACCCCATCTCTAAAAAAAAAAAAAAAAAAAAATTAAGACATGATGAGTTGAACAGGGAAGAATAAAGTTTGCCCTTTTAAGAAGAAACTGAAGCAGAAATAGTACAGTCTTCTTTTGTTGCTTCTACTGGGAATACTTTTGAGAAATGAATAATTTATAATAATATATATAAGATGCTACCTTGTTGCCCCATTAATATTGAGCAACAGATAGGCTTACCAGGAATAGTTTCACTAGAATGATGTCCTAGTGTTATAGCCACAGTTATACTGCTTACAGAGGTATAGTTTGCACATGGGATAGTTATTCAGGTTGTTAAAATCTTCCATTCAAATGTGGCACAGTAGAATACTCAGTGTCTCCAAGTAAAATAATAAATATTTTCAGCCTTGATTAAACTCTACTACATTCCAGTCTTCATTTCCCTTGCCCACGTTTACTAAAAGATGAGTGTGTTAGAAATTTCAAGTATTATATGAACCTCTGATACCAGTATTTAAACAGGATTTAATTATTTGAACACTCCACCCATCAATCTTCTTTTCTCCTGTTCAGATATCTAAAATGCTTTCATCCCAAATAAATAAACAAGAACATTAATAGTGCTAACAATATCTTTGTTGGATAGGTCTGAATTTAATTTTTTTTTAAGGAGAGCAAAAGTTAAAGGACTAAGGCAGCATAATATCTTGAAACAAGATGAACTTAGGATCAACATACATTTTTCAGTCTTGTTTCACTTAGTAGGCGTATGACTTTGAGCGTATCACTTAAGTCTCTTATCTATAAAACAAGTACATAAAACTTGATTCCTGAAGTGCCTTTCTACTTTAAAATATTTTGTTTAAAATATCAAACTTCAATATAAATATTAAGTTGGAAAACAATTCTGATCAAAGAACTTCCATTAAGTAAAACAAGACAAACTATTTAAAAATATTACTCTAACACAGATGTCCTTGATTGTATTTTCTACTCAACTATTTTCAAGTATTCAGCTTGTTTTATACAGATATTAGTCTCAAAATACATTTGTTTCGTTGTTGCTACTCCTTAAACTTCTTTTCTTTGTTATCTAAATCTAGTAAAGTTTTCCAAGTTCATTGTATTAAGATTGGTGCAGAAGTAAATTTATTCTTTGTCATATAAATTGTTTTGTAAGTAGCTTTAACTGTGAAGTAAGCCTTTTAACATAATCAGCTTTCTTGAAAGGAGGAAGTCAGATGAGTAGAGAAGGAAAGTTACATTTCTTTACAAACACTTTTAATTTTAATGTCTAAGGGAATTACAGAGACTTACCTTATTCTGCCTTAAATAAGGGATGTTACTTGAATCTTCTTGTCATGGTTCCTTGCATGGGCAGTCATGTTAAAAAGAGTTAGGGCAATAGCAGATATTCTAAAATAGTGACTGCAGATAGATCAATCAGTCATTTTGTTTTAAAGAAAGGAGGTCACTGGTAGTGAGGTGGGAAAATAATGCCTGTGAAAAGGAATTCTAAGTCACTGGCTCAGGGACTTAGCATTTTCATCTCATATTTACTAGTTAAGAAACGTGTAAGTTATATGTGTGATTGACACAGTCTATTTCAAAGTATTGGAAAGGAGACAATAGAATCACCCCCCCACACACACACACCCACTTCCTTATGTAAAATCAGAATAAAATAAGTATCATTCCAAACTCTTACGGTGAAGGATTTGGTTTCAAGTAACAATGAAAGTAGATCATGGGTCAGACATGGAACTAGCAATAAAAGAGAAGTACAACAAGATGAATGTGAGTAATAGTTCATTTTCCTGCATTTGTGATCAGGGCCATGAAGAGAGGTCATGGTAATCTGCGGAGAAGGTACTTAAAAGTATAGAACAATAGAAATATAATGTGAGCCATATATATATATTTTTAAATTTCTATAGCCACATTTTAAAAAGTAAAAAAAATTATTTTTAATAATCCAGTAGCTCCAAAATATTTTAACATACATCCAATATATTGAAGTTACAGGATAGTTTACATTCTTTTTTTTGATATCTGATGTATATTTTACACTTTCATTACATCTCCATTCAGCATTTTAAGTGATCAGTTTTCACGTGGCTGACTAGTGGCTATAATGGACAGCATAGGTTTAGAGAATGCCTATTCAACTACTCAACTTGTTTTATATGTATAAATCTCAAAATACCTTTATTTCATTGTTGGTACTTTTTTCCTTTATTATCCAGTTATAATAAAGCTTTCCAACTTTCCTTGTACAAATGAAATGAGTTTATTGTGGTAATGAAAATGGAGAGGAAGTCCAACAGCTAGTTTATTTATCATCCTGAAACCAGTGAAGAAATCAAAGCTGAATAAAAGGGACTCCTAGTTGTCGCTCTCAAGGGCAGGTATAATTTAGGTGCAAGACTTTGTAGCATAATGTTTTGCAAGTAGTGGATGTTCAATATCTACAATTAATGAATTGTACCACTGTATTGTTTGAAGGAAGTTTATAGCCTGTCTAGAACAACCTTCTCAATTTTACAACTAAACTAGGAGATTCAGGGCTTAAATCATGATTGAACTGATTATTCCTGTTAAATCTGTGTGAACCATATGTGAAAATTCTTTGAAAATGTATAATAAGCATTTCAAGATTCCTGTTTTAATCATTAACATTTAAAATTCTAGGAAATCTTTTGGTATGCAGAGAACTTATTTCTTCCAACTGTTGTTTCAGATGCTGAGAAGATTGTAGAAGATAGGGAAGTTGTAGTTTACTATCTAGTTTTTTAATGCATAGGAAGTAATTTAAAATGCTCTTCCTTTCTTGTCACTTACTTTTAGAAAATTCTCTAACGATTGAATGATTTTAAATATTTCTTAACTGGGTGAAATGGAAACTTTGTAATTGAAGCCAATCAAGGTGAAGATGCCCACTTGTTAATACACAGAAAATTATTTTCTTATTAAGGCCAGTTAATGGGATAAACCGTTTTAAGAGAGTACTTTGAGAAAAAAATTTCTATTTTAAATTTATACATGTAACTGTTTAATAAAAACTAAGTCAGACAAAATTTAACAAAACTAAATTGCCTTCTTTTTGCTTCCATAGTCAGCCTCGAGTTACCTTGATTTTAACATACATTTTATTTTCTAGATCTTCATTTCAAATCTCACTACATATGTGTATACAGCATGTTTGTATATTTGTGTGTGTAGAAATGTGTGTGTGAATGCAACAGGCTTTTAAACCAAACTTAATTTCTAAATTTTAGTTTTAAATATGTCCCAGCCTTCTATAACTGAGACTTAGAGCCAACTGCTTATGTTTTTAGAGCTATATTGCTTAGGTGTCATAGTTTTACTAGGACCAACTTGAGTTGATTCTACTTTGGAAATCTCTGCCGTTCTCATTTCTGTTGTCTCTATCCTTAGGGTCAAGATCTTGTGACCATTTACTGGAACTATCTTGAGTCTCCTGTAAAAAACTGTTAGTCTCTCTCTACTCCGCCAGTGCTACAACCTGTTCCCAAACTGATCTTCCTAAAAAACTCCTGTCATGGTACTATGCTCAGAAATCTTTATAGACTCCTTACAGTCTGCAGATGAAGTCCAGATGCTTGCTTCAGAATAATTTCGTCTCAAACTATTTTTCCTGTCTTGATTCTTATCCCTTAGCTTCACCCACCTTTTGCTTTAATGAAATTAGGCTCCTGTCTCATGAGCATGCTCTATTCCTTCCTGGTTCATATTTTTGTTAGTGACATCCCTTGTCTGGTCTACCTTTCCCTTTTAATGGCAGTTGTTTAAATCTTGTCCATTCCTTAAACTTTAAAGCCACATTTGAAGTCCACATCCTTTTAAGTACTCTAGCTAGAAGAAATGTCTCTTGATCCCTCAGTAGGACTCCAATAACACTTTGTTCCTTTTAGATTGCATTTATGGAGACCTATTTGCATTATAGTTGCCTGGCATTACTGCCTTGACTAGTTTGTCTCTTGAGGAATGACTATGCCCATGTTATTTATTGTAGAAACTAGTGTTTTACAGCCAAGACAGTGTAATTGAGTGATTAAGAATGCAGTTACACATTCAGCCCACCAGTATGAATCCTGGCTCAAGAGCCTACAATATTGACTTTAAGCAAGTTATTTATCTCTAAAAGTTACTTTCCTTATCTGTGTAATGGGAAATGTGCCTTCAGATGCTTCTTAAGGACATTAAGATAATGTGAATTTCTTAGCAGTAGCAAGTGCTTAATAAAATATTAGCTATCATATATGCAACAAATGTTTACTGAACACTTAACATCTCCGTCTAAACAAAGCCCTCATTTTGATTATTTCACCAGTATTTAGGCCTTCTTCAAAACAATGAGTTTATGCTTGACAAGGGTCTAAATAGGCTTACCAAAGAGTCCTTTCCAAAATAGTATGCCCTAGGAGATCCACACTGGGAGCCCTGGGCTGAGCATCAGAGGCGGAGGGGAAGAAAGCAAGCAGTCAAAATCAGTTTGTATTCAGCCAACAAAAGTTTAGAACTTCACCCACTACAGAGATACTCTACTATAGTTAAATGAATGTTGTCAGTAAATGTGAGAAACCTTTAAAGAAGCCTGAAGACCAAGGATGAAATACAAATGTGGTTATTACTTAGGGGAAGAAAAGTTCATTTCTACCCACACATGTAAGAACCTTGAATATGTTATAAGCCAGGGCAAATAGTAAATCATGGAAGAAAGATGATGAATGAAAAAATTATAAGAACATTTGATGGAGCAGCAGCCAACCAACCAAGTGATGGTTAAGGGCCTATACCACTGTAGTGGAAGTAAGAAAGGAGGTAATTCAGGGAAATGGTAATTAAAATGGCAAGTTTCATTTATTTCATTTATCCATCCATTTTGCAATCAGAATGCTAATTTCAAAATCCTGGGTAAAACAAATGTCTAAGAAAGGAGAAGTGAGGTAGATGGAAAGACCCTCAGAAAGAAGTAGGGATATTTCTTACCCTGCACAAAAGGAAAGGGAAGAACGGGTATATTTGGAGATGAAAAAAAAATATGAGTTCAAGCAGGACATTTTTTGTTTTGGCAAAGTAAGAAAGCCATCAGGCAGTAATGTCAGCAGGAAGGCCAAAGAAGATTGGATGCCATAAAAGAATAGCACATGATTAGGAAAAAAAAAAAGGATGAGTAAAAGGACTATTGAGTGCTAATTTTCAAAGGAATGAAATTCATGAGTTTACAGTGAAGCCAGCTTAAGAAAATAGCCATTTTTTTCAGCCATCAGAAAGTAGGACCTAAAACATCAATTTTTTTCAGTATTGGGGATTGTTGATGGGTTTGAGAGAACATTTAGGGAGAAAGTTGCATTGAGAGAAAGGAAGGCAAGAGAGAGGTGACAAGCATACATTGGAGGATTTTGATGTGGTGATGAAGTAAAAGCAGATTTTCTACCAGAGAATAGAGAGAAGAATTAAGAAAGTAATCAATGGACAGAATTCCTTTGACTTCATTTCAGAAATCAAAACATTAATTTTTAGTATATTGGCACGTTTTAGAAGAGAGAAAAACTTCAAAATGGCAACCAACCTGTACTTAGTAATGCCATTTGGGTTATTTCTGTGGCATTCCTAGAATTTAATTTTAAAATATTTATTTTTTTTAACATTTTTATTATACATTTTATTTTTTAAAAAATTATTTTCATAGAATACATTTTCACATTAGAGGTTCCCATAGTGTGAAAATAACAATTAATTACTTAGAGTTTTATATTTGTGGACAGATTTTAGAACAAGTAGAACACATTTGAGAATTAACTCTCAATTTATGATCTGTAATATTTTGGTATGTATAGAAGGGGAACTTTACCCTTATATGGAACTTCTCTATATTCAGAAGCACTACAAGCTTTTCTTCCTAGGATTTAGAAATTTATATGTGAGATACCAGCATGTCCAAATTTAAAAATTTCCCTAGTATATGTATCCATCAGTAGGTGGTATCTACTGAATAGAGAGGGAAGTTTTCAAAAATTAAACACTGTCTAATTTTCTGCCAAGTTTTTATTCATGAATTAACGGTATTTCCCTTTGTCCATTATTTCCAAGGCAAAGAATAAGTTTGATAATATAGTAATAGTAATAAAGCTGGATTCTCTTTAAGAGATTGATAAATTAAAAGGCAAAAGCTCATATATCATGTTTAGTTATACTGTGAGTCTTATGAGAAGCTGGGAGGCAACCCCATTTACTCACCAGAATACAGAACTCAGTCTCACAATTTCTTAGACATAATTCCTCTCAAACCTTTTCCTCAAAGATTAAGAGAAGAAGCCTGTCCACCAATAGACTTATCTGTTACTTCTTCCTTACTGTGAGCTGAATGACATGACAAAGCAGAGGCAAAGAGGCATACATCAATTCTTCAAAGTATGAAGTCAAAAAGGTCAGAGCTTCCATAGCATGGCAACAGCTTTGCAGATGCCCACATCGTGATAGTTGAAATAGCAAAGCCCAGCAAAGGTTAAAGCTGAAAGTGCCAAAAGCCCTGCCTTGGCAGCTTTCTGCGAGGCATCCCCATGAACATAGTAACAACTTGTCCAAGGCCCCAGTGACCATGAAGAGTGAGAGTTGCAGCCAGAGAATAGTCCATCGCAGAGCAAGGATTCAAATAAGCAGCCGGAAGCAGACCCAGGAGCAAAACACTGACAACCCTTTCACTAGTCCAGTGGAGAGATGCAGCCTTGGAACCAGAATGGTGACTCGGTGACAAGTGAATGTGGTGCACTCCACACCATTCTGGGGTAGGTTGGTCCTGAAGAAACGCTGAAATATGAGCAGGTCTGACCACTGAAGTTCGCAGCAACAGAGCTCGGCTTCCTTGGGCACGGCAAAGAGCACTAAGTCTCCAGAGAACCGCCATCTTGTTCCTGAGGGCTCCTAAAATATTTATTTTTTATTTTGAGACGGAGTCTCACTCTGTCCCCCAGGCTGTCGTGCAGTGGCATGATCTCGGCTCACTACAACCTCCATCTCCTGGGTTCAAGCAATTCCGCCTGAGCCTCCTGAGTAGCTGGGATTACAGGCATGTGCCACCACAGCCAGCTAATCTTTGTATGTTTAGTAGAGATGGGGTTTCACCACGTTGGCCAGGCTGGTCTCGAACTCCTGACCTCAGGCAATCTGTCTACCTTGGTTTCCCAAAGTGCTAGGATTACAGGTATGAGCCATTGTGCCTAGCCTAGAATTTGCTTTTTGGTTTGCCAATGTCTTGGCAGTTTTTTGTTTGTCAATGCATTAAAATCTATTTCACCCTTTTGATGTTTTTAAGTTGATGTTTATCAAATTAGTACATGCACACAATCTGAAAACTAACATTGAAAAGGCTAAATAGCTGGGCAAGGTGGCTCAGGCCTGTAATCCCAGCACTTTGAAAAGCCAAATTGGGCTGATGGCTTGAGCTTCAGAATTTGAGACTACCCTGAGCAACATGGCAAAACCCTGTCTCTACAAAAAAAAAAAAAAAAATTAGCTGGGCATAGTGGCTCACACCTGTAATCCCAACTATTAGGTAGGTTGAGGTTGGGACGATTGCTTGCGCCCAGGAGGTTGAGCTGCGGTGAGCCATGTTCATGCTACTGCACTCCACCCTGGATGACAAAGTGAGACCCTGTCTGGAAAGAAAGGAAAAAAAAGAAAAGGCCAAATAAAAAACAATGGTTCTCTGTCCCACATGTCCTGTTTTCTTAATCCTTTTACTCAGAGACAACCTCTTTCTAGTCTTAGCTGTTTCTCCTGCTATAATATACCTTCACATTTTTAAATAATAGCCACATTCTGCTATCAATTATCAATTTTAGGCATTATCTACTTATCTTTTTTATGGTAAATAAGAGTTTGGTTCTCTCACTCTGCCATCTCTCTGCTTTACACATTTCTTCCCCACCCTTCCAATGTAGTTACATTGCAATCTTTTTGTTAAATCAGTATTTGCATTATTGTACCTATACAACTATTATTCAAAGCTCAAAGCTGAAGTGTATTTAATTGTGATTTTCTTCCTTTTTTAAAAAAATAAACTTTATTTTTTAGCAGTTTTACAGAAAAATGTCAAGGTTGTACATACAGAATTCTCTTACCCTGGACTGTTTCTTCTATCAACAGTTAGTATAGCACATCTGTTACTACAAATAAATAAATACTGAGACATTTTTATTAGCTAAAGTCTGTTGTTTACTCAGATTTCCTTTGTTTTTGCTTAATGTGTTTTGTCTGTTCCGGGACCATTTCCAGGATACCACATCCAGGATATGCTGAGTTGTCATGACTCTTTCTGCTCCTCTTGGTTGTGACAGTTTCTCAGGCTCTCCTTGTTTTCTATTACCTTGCTGTTTTTCCCTCAGGTAAAACATGCCTTGATTTTTTCCATGTGGTTGGTGCTTCTTGTATTATTGCTTATTTTTCCCATGTCTTCCCATTGTGTCTCAGTACATTTTCCCATAGCCCACCCACACTGGGTAATCTAGCCACTTCAACTGTTTTCCTTCAAGCCCTCCCTCCTGGGGACTTCTCTCTGGGTCTGTGCTCTCTGGGCTTGCTGTAGTGTTACCCTTGGACTTCTCTTGCTTTCCAATTTGGAATTGTCTTTACCATTCTCCTGGCATGTATTCCCTGTATCCTGAGACTCAGGCCCTCCTCTTTCTTGATTTATTTTCTTGTGTTGGTGAAGTATAGTTTCCAGTAGTTCCTTTACTTTAAAAGGAAGACACAGCAGAAAACACTGTGAAGACAGACCACAAAATGCCTGCTTCTTGAGTCATGTTGCTGTAGTATGTACTGGTTACCTTTTTAAACTCATTGCACAGTGGTAATCCTAAAGATTTCCTTTGCTTCTCTCCTGGGTTGTATTCTTTGCTTTCTATACCCCACAGTTTCCTCTTTCTTGATTTATTCCCTCATTTTGCTGAATATACAGAGTAAGTTTTTAAAAACAAATACAGCAAAAGTCTATTTTTTTTTTTTTGAAAAGTCTTGCTCTGTTGCCTAGACTGGAGTGCAGTGGTATCTCAGCTTACTGCAGCCTCTGCCTCCCAGGTTCAAGCGATTCTTCTGCATCAACCTCCTGAGTAGCTGTGATTACAGGCATGAGCCATCATGCCCAGCTAATATTTTAATTTTTAGTAGAGATTTCGGGGTTTTAACATGTTGGCCAGGCTGATCTTGAACTCCTGACCTCAGGTGATCCACCCGCCTCAGCCTCTTAAAGTGCTGGGGTTATAAGCATAAGCCACTATGCCTAGCCTGTTTTTGAGACTTTCTTTTACCCTAATTTTTATAGATAATTTGTGTATAGATTGGAAAAGTTTTCTCTTGGAATTTTGAAAACATTGCTTCATTATCTTCTAGCTTCTAGTGTTGCTGCCAAGAATTGCAAAGCCTGCTGATTGGTCTAATCTTTTGCGATCTGTTTTCCTCCTCTCCTTGGAGACTAAAGGATCTTCTCTTATCTCCAGTGTTCTGAAATCTCATAAAAATTTGTAATAGTGGCCAAGTGTGGTGGCTCATGCCTGTAATCCTAGCACTTTGGGAGGCCAAGGCAAGAGGATCATTTGAGGTCAGGAGTTCAAGACCAGTCTGGCCAATATGGTGAAACCCAGTCTTTACTAAAAATAAAAATAAAACAATGAGCCAGGCATGGTGGTGTGTGCCTGTAATCCCAGCTACTTGGGAGGCTGAAGAATAAGAATCGCATGAACCCAGGAGATGGAGATGGCAGTGAGCCAAGATTGCACCACTGCAATCCAGCCTGTGTGACAGAGAGTCCGTCTTGAAAAAAAAAATTTTGTAACAGTGTGTGTGTATTTTCATCCTGTGTGGGGACTTTCAATCAGGAAACATGACATTCCATTGTAGAAATTTTCTTGAGTTATTTCACTCATTATATCTTCCCTTCTGTATTCTCTGTCTTCTCTTTCTGGAATTTTTTCATTATTTGAATATTGGATGACCTGCATTTGATTTTTACTCCTGTTTTTCATCTCTGTCATTTTGCTCTACTTTCTAGTTCTTTTTCTGTTTTCTGATAGTTTCTATTGTTTTTTTCTTTTTTCTTTTTTTTGTTCTCCTTTCCAATTTATATGTTGAAGATTGTTTCTGTTTTTTAACAGCTTCCTGTTCTTATTTCATAGATGCAATGTCTTTCTATATCTTTCTGAAAATTTTAGTGATGATTTATTTTTTAAGTATTTTCCCCCTCCTGGTTTTTGTTTCTTCCAAATTGTTTTTTTTTATTTTTTAATTATTTTTTTATGTTTTTGAGATGGAGTATTGCTGTTGTTACCCAGACTGGAGTGCAATGGCACGATCTCTGCTCACCGCAACCTCCGCTTTCTGGGCTCAAGCAATTCTCCTGCCTCAGCCTCCTGAGTAGCTGGGACTACAGGCACGCACCACCATGCCCAGCTAATTTTGTATTTTTAGTAGAGACGGGGTTTCACCTTGTTGACCAAGATGGTCTCCATCTCTTGACCTCGTGATCCACCCGCCTCAGCCTCCCAAAGTGCTGAGATTATAGGCGTGAGCCACCGAGCCCCAGATTGTTTTTCTATTTTGGTATCTCTTCCATGTTAAATGTTGTCCTCAAATATGTTACTCCTTAGATGTCTCCTCCTGATTAGCAGTGGGATTTGAAAGCTGATTGGAAGCTCTGTGTGTAGTTATGGGGCTTGTCAACTTAGAGCATCACTGAAGAATGATCTTATTGGGCTATCTGTAGGGGACTTTCAATGTTGGTATCTCTGAAGGTTTTCCTCTTGAGCTAGTTAGATTCCCCCAGAGAATAGATTTCTTGTTGACTGTTTTGTGGCTGCCAGCCTTTATAGAGGGCCAGCATTCATTACTCAGTATGTGTATGGTCACTTACCCTCAGACACCAATTATTTTTGATAACAGTATCCATGCCCTCAGCTGGGCCAGTCAACTTCTAATGCAGATTGTTTCTTTCTCCCTCTCTAGAGGAAATATTCTCCAGTTGTAGAGGAAGATAAAAGATCTTCCCGATTCTCAGTTTTTACCAATACTCCTTATTTTAGCCATTCTAGAGGTACCTATTGTTCCTTCTGTGGTCTCTTTTGAGTATTGTGCTGTGTAAATCTGGTTGGTTCTATGTTTTTCCTGCTGTTGGTTTAAGATTAGGATTTCTCTTGTTTGCTAGAAATGTTACTTCCCTTCTATCTCTTTCCAGCTGACAAAAGTCTTGCTCTCTCCTCTCCTGTTTTTTTCTATCTCTGTAGGTTTAAAAAAATAAAGGGAAAAATTACTTGCATTTTTACTGGGACTAGAAGTTTGAAATTAGTTACGTATTTTCAATTTGCTATCTTAACTCAGAAACCTGTACACATTTGGGAGGCTGAGATGGGTGGATGACCTCACATGAGGTCACGAGTTCAAGACTGTCCTGGCCAACATGGTGAAACCCCATCTCTACTAAAAATACAAAAATTAGCCAGATGTGGTGGTGCACAACGGTAGTCCCAGCTATTCGGGAGGCTGAGGCAGAAGAATTGCTTGAACCCGGGAGGCAGAGGTTGCAGTGAACCAAGATCATGCCATTGCACTTCAGCATGGGTGTCTTAGTGAGACTCCATCTCAAAACAAACAAACAAACAAAAAAAACCTGTACAACAGTCTTTTTAAATGCAATTAGTATTCATATATTTTATTCAATCTTCACTGAATATATATTTAATTCAATCCTCATCGATAGCATTTCTTTCCAAATTTTTGCCCATATTGAAGTTATTCTTTTTTTTGGGGGGGGGGACAGTTTTGCTCTTATTGCCCAGGATGGAGTGCAATGGTGCAATCTCTGCTCACTGCAACCTCTCCCTCCCAGGTTCAAGCACTTCTCCTGCCTCAGCCTCCTGAGTAGCTGGGATTACAGGCATGTGCCACCATGCCTGGTTAATTTTTTGTATTTTTAATAGAGATGGGGTTTCACCATGTTGGCCAGGCTGGTCTTGAACTTCTGACCTCAGGTGATCTGCCTGCCTCGGCCTCCCAAAATGCTGGGATTACAGGCACGAGCCATCACCCCCAGCCTGAAGTAAGTATTTTTCAAAACTGCCAATATACTAAAAATTATTGCCATTATTTCTGAAACTTAACTTTCCTTCTTTCACTACTTTCTCATTTCTTCTCTCCTATTCTCTCATTACCAGAAAATCTGCTTTCATCTCCTCACATTAAATCCTCCAATTTGTGCCTGTCACCTCCCTCTTGCCTCATTTCTCTCAGTATAACCTTCCCCCTTGATGTTCTCTCAAAGCAGGTTGTTATAAAAGTGAGCTCAGCCCCTTATTCTTTCTTTCATATGCTCCCTTACCCTTCTGCCCTTCTGCTATGAGATGACCGTCACAGATGCCAGGGCCATGTTCTTGGACTTCCCAGGCTCTGAGCCAAATAAGCTTCTATTCTTTATAAATAACCCAGTCTGTGATATCCTGTTATATCAGCAGAAAAGGGACTAAGACATTAATCTTTATCAAATTAAAGATATTTCTTTCTACTTCTAAGAATTTGTATGAATGGTTGTACTGTTTTGTTAATTTTTTTCAGGATCTACTGGGATATTTTTTAGTCTGACAATATTGAAAAATACATCAAAAGATGTCCTCATGTTTAGCCATCTTTACATTCCTGGGATAAATCTTACTTTGTCATGATGTTTTAATCTTGTAATTGAATGCTGAATGTATAATATATTCGATTTACATTTTAGTCAAAACTTCTAATATGTTAGTATTTAAAGCAGTATATCACTCACTTTGCTGAAGTATATTTCTACTCAATACTAAGTAAATTTTAGTGTAAGAATTTTGCACCCAGATTCCAGCAGAATATTATTTTTTTTTAGCCAAGAGGTTACTGCTAAAGAATTTTATGATTTTGCTCATGAAAATTGTTTGCTTCTATTAAGAGATACTAACTGTTCAATGTCTTATATATGTATTTACCATGCATTTTTATTAATGTTTTTAGGAAAAGATATTTAGCTGGCCTGTTAGATTATACAGTTAGATTAAAAGATAACGTAGCAACAACAGGATAATACATTTGCCATTTCGTTTTCCTATGGTGCTCTATTCTCCCCTTCCTTGGTGGCTGGAAGACTCACAGAATTTGGTTAGAAATTTAGTTCTTCCAGTTATTAGCTAGTAATTTCATAGTACTTATCCTCTGTGAGCCTTAATTATGTCATCTAAAATAGCTGAAATTGTAACAATTACCATTTATGGCTGGGCCAATATAGCTCAAGAACACACCCACAAATTGATAGTTTGTATATATTTTCAGCAAGGGAAATGTAAATTATACACAGCTATTAGTGGAATACAGCAAATGGGTATTATTTGGACCATTTGTCAGACCTTCATGGTCCACACATTTCTGCCTCTTAAATCCAACAGGTAAATGGGTGAGCCATGCCATTATCAAAATATAATATCCTACAACTAACAGGTTGTAGGATATTATAGAGAGCATATTAAAAACTTGATTCTTGGGAAGCCCTTGAAACCCATGTTGCCTCTTATTGCACGTAACACTTCCTCATGTGATTGGTTTTTGTTTGTTTGTTTTGAGATGGGGTCTTGCTTTGTTGTCCAGGCTGGAGTGCAGTGGCATGATCTTGGCTCATTGCAGTCTCTGCTTCACAGGTTCAAGCAGTTCTCCCACCTCAGCCTCTCAAGTAGCTGGGATTACAGGGGTGAGCCACCTCCCTGTAATCCAGCTAAATTTTGCATTTTTAGTAGAGACATGATTTCATTATGTTGGCCAGGCTGATCTCAAACTCTTGACCTTGGGTGACCTGCCTGCCTCAGCCTCCCAAAATGTTGGGATTACAGGCGTGAGTCACCTCGCCCTGCCATACGATTGTTATAGAGCTGAAGTGAGTCAACGTTATGTGATAGTATTGAACATAGTACCTGCTGCATTTCACTAGTTTTGTAAAGATAAGTACTTATCTAAATTATGTGCTGGGTAGTATGCCAACCACGAAATGATGTGTTTTTAAAAGCATACTTGCCCTAAAACCTAGTGGGTAGAGTAAATAAATCACACATACAGTGTATAGTCCACCAGTGGCTTAAGGTAACCTACAAGCTGGGCTCTGAACTCAGACAGCTTATCATCCACAGAGCTGGCTGGTTACCTCAGGAGGTGCTGGCCAGAAAAAAGAAAGGTGTGTAGTCACAGGGCACAGCTAAGACACAGAATTTTGAGAGAAGGGCACATCCTGGAGCTGCAAATGTATGACTGCTGGGTTAGGAGGACAGATATTCAGATGAGGCTAATGTAGAGGGCTGTGCATGGTCCATGTCAGGTAAGTTCCTGAGACGAGAAGCTGCCTTATCCCTCTGTTGCATGGCTCAGGGTCCCATCATAAACTCTAGAGTTTGCCAAGTTGACAGTCCCCTGCCCTCAAGGACCAACTAAGTGCAATTGTTTGTAGGCCAAAAAAGCTTGTTGGCTGGTAACTTGTTTTCTGGACGGCTGAGGTCACTTCTCAGTGACCAACAAATCACATCCATATTTCTTTTCTTTGTTTTTCTTTTTGAGATGGAGTCTTGCTCTGTCGCCCAGGCTGGAGTGCAGTGGTGCGATCTCGGCTCACTGCAACCTCCGCCTCCCGGGATCAAGCGATTCTTCTGCCTCAGCCTCCCGAGTAGCTGATATTATGCACCTGGCTAATTTTTGTATTTTTAGTAGAGATGGGGTTTCATCTTTGTTGGTCAGGCTGGTCTCGAACTCCTGACCTTGTGATCTGCCCACCAGGGCCTCCCAAAATGCTGGGATTACAGGCATGAGGCACCGCGCTCGGCCTTTTTTTCCTGTTTCTTTTTTTCAGACGGAGTCTTGCTCTTGTCGCCCAGGCTGGAGTGCAATGGTGCAATCTCAGCTCACTGCAACCTCTGCCTCCCGCATTCGAGTGATTCTCGTGTCTCACCCTCCTGAGTAGCTGGGATTACAGGCACGCACCAGCATGCCCGGGGTAATTTTTGTATTTTTAGTAGAGACGGGGTTTCACCATGTTAAGGCTGATCTCGAACTCCTGATGTGCTGGCCTATGCCTCCAAAGTGGTGGGATTACAGGCGTGAGCCACCGCGCCCGTCTAAGTCCACGTTTCTATTCTCCGTGCTTTAACCTAAAGAAGAAACTCAGTGTTTACTTGAGTAACTTGATAATCAAGCTTCCTCCGCTGGGACACTTCATATTTTAGGGACCTTCAGGCTACTAGGTCCTGGTCCGAGGTGCGGGGTTCAGTCCCTCCTTTTCTTTCTTTCTTTTTTTTTTGTCTTCTGTTTTTCCCTTATAGTTAAAAAAGCACTTCACAGTTAGAGGGCAGCATTTTAGAATTGGAGCGTGAAGTCAGAGCGTTTGTCTCTTAGTGACCTGCCAACTTTTAGGTTCACTTCGAACTCGGTGGGACAACAACATTCCCAGATTCGACGGCTAACTCAAAAGGAGACGGTGACCGACGAGTCGAAAGGAAATCGGAGAGTCTTGGTAAAAGCTGGATGGTTCACCCGTTAATACCAGCCGAGAGACAAAAACAAATTTCAACCAAACAAAACAAAAGTTAAAAGCGCCACGCTTTCTATTCTTTGCTATCTGGCAATCTGTTAATGGTGGTGTCTAGCAAACTGCAAATCAAGCGCCCGCCGAAATCCGCTGGGTAGTGGGCACCGGGTGCGGCCCAGTCCCTGCGCCTAGCGCGGTGGCGCACACAATTGGTTTCTGCAGGCTCAGATTTTTCTGGCCCCGCCTCCTTCGGGCCCAGCTGATCTCCACCGCCCATTAGGCCCGAAACCCAGGCGCCAGGAGCCCTGCGCCCTCTGCTCCCTGCCCTGGCACGCCCTGGGCGCGGCGAGCGACCGCGTCAGCGCGCGGACTTGAATCCCGACCCGCAGCCTCCGGGCCCCGCGGGCGCTTGGGAGCGGGAGGCGGGGCGGCCCGGCGGTGGGCGGAGCGGCGGTCGCGGCCGTGAGCCCGCCCCCCACTCACCCTCCGCCGGCTGGCCGGCAAGGCCATGGAAGTCTACATCCCGTCCTTTCGCTACGAGGAGAGTGACCTGGAGCGGGGATACACGGTAGGCGCGAGCCGCGGCCGGACAGGGCCCCGCGAGGCGGGCCTGCGGCTGCTGCGCCCAAGAAACACCCGCGGCCGCCGCCGCCGCCTTGGCGCAGGGGGTCCCCTCGCTCCTCTCTCCCCTCCCCCGGCCCAGAGGAAGGACTCCGCCTTGGCGCGGTTGTCAAGGAAACGGGCGCCCCTCCCTGGCGCGGCGGCTGCGGACGCCCGCAGCCCCTCGGGGTCCAACCCTTCTCCTCCCGGCTGAGCTCCCGGCCTCGGGGCAGGAACGCGGGGAGTCCAGTCCTCGGACGCAGCGCTCGCCATTCTCCTGGCCACCTGCCTTCGGGCGTCCAGCATGGGCTGCGTTTCTTTCTGGCACAGCTGCCCTCAGTCCAGACAGTAGTAGCTTCGCGGCAGGTTCACACTGGCTTCCAGGTTCTGTACAGTTCGTTCAACTGGAAAACCTGTTTTTTTTTTTTTTTTAATCATTTGTAGCTGTTTATTAACCAAACTGAACACACGTATTGATTTGAGATGGTTTCCAAAGATTTTTCTTTTTGAGTTGTGCAGTTCCATGAAATGGCAAAATCACTTGCTGGTCACCTGTTTCATACCCAGGACGTAGTCACCGACTGTGGTCACCGAGATATGTGAACCAGGACCGGTGGTCTCAAGAGGGAAGGGGAGAGTAGAGACTAAGGCATGGGTCCTTTGAGTAACAAGTTTACTAAGTGAATTGTTGGTGGAGATTTCCCAGTGAATTCAAAGCATTCTTTCCTGGACAGTCATTGCTAGTGGGAGAAATGTCTGAGAGGGCCTGCACCTTGGAGGAATTTATTTTCAGTTGTTAAAGAGCCGGGAGGGTTGGAGGAAGATTGCAGGACAGTCTGAAGGGATTGTTATTTTATTTACACCAGTCACTCGCTCGCTAAACACCCGTTAGGTTAGTTTGACGGAGAGTGTTTTTACTTCCCTCCTCTAAACATTACTGATATTTGGTGACAGTCTGTTTGGGCCCTTGTGTTTTCATAGTTGGGACTAAATTACCCTCTCAAAGGAAGATTTAGAATGAAAAACAGTGATTGAAAAACTAGTCCAGGAAGTGGGTGGGTTTTTAGAATCGTGTAGACTGCTGGGTCAAGTGTTCTGAAGCAAGTTGTTAAAAGTGCTTTCTTTGGGAAGGAAACTGCACGGAGAGGGAGCTGTGCTCCACAGTGGCAGTTGTTTATATAAATTATCCTTTCCAATGCATTCACATTTCGTTAGTCTGTATCTTCCTTAAAAAAAAAAAAAAACTCGAGTTTGTTCAAGGCTGTTTTTTTTTCTTGGAGATTTTAAACAAGTCTCTTGAGCCTAAAACCTTGCTTGTTGTTTGGTCTCCCAGGTACCTCGCTTCTCCCATCAGCACTGTCAGTGGTCATAGAGGGCTTACCATCTATGGGACATTCTTTTAGGATCTGAAGATCAAAAGGCACCTTGTTAGGGGCGTTGGCTTTCAAAGAAAAGATGAAGTTGATCTCACTGGTTCAAGCTAAAAGTTAATTACCTGCAGAAATAAGCACTTTGAAATAGACCATAATTAAGACTCGTTGTCCATTATTGATTTTCGTCTATTAGACAGCTGTGTTTTTCTCCCAAAGCTTTATGTATCTTTTTATTATTTGTATTTATGACCAGGCATGTGCCACACTCCAGGTTGTGAATTAAACTGATTTGAAGGAGCTCTTTTTTCGGACAAATTCGGTAGAGTTTGAAGATTACTTACGTGATGAGATTTCACTCTTTAAATATTTGCTTAAAAAAATCCTAACTCATCCAGATTGGGAGCTAAACTGTTAAAATCTCTGTTATCTTTTTTGAGACAGTCTTTTGCACCTAGGCAAGTGTGCAGTGGGGTGATCTCAGCTCACCGCAATCTTTGCCTCCTTGGCTCAAGTAATCCTTCCACCTCTGCCTCCGGAGTAGCTGGGACTCCAGGCACACACCACCACTCCTGGCTAATTTTTAAATTTTTTATAGAGACAGGGTTTCTCCATGTTGCCCAGGCTAGTCTAGAACTCCTGTGCTCAAGCAATCTACCAGCCTATATCTCCCAAAGTGCTGGGATTACAGGCGTGAACTACCACGTCCAGCTCTAAAATACCTTCTGAAGTGATTTTTTTTTTGGCCTCTGTGAATTTGTGAACCAGATGTTAGGTGCTTTTCCCCTCTGAAAAACTGGCTTTATAATTGTACAGTAGTTTTTTCATTCAACAAATATTTACTGAGTGCCTGCTCTGTGTCTGTATTAGGGGTATAAGGAATATAGCAGTGAACAAGCTATGAATATTAGCAGCTAAAAAAAAAAAAAACCCGGAATTTAAAAAATATCTTTGTTTCCTAAATAAGAAGCTGGTAAAATAATGTACACTTTAGTGCAAAAAATAGCGTTTTACTTTAGCGATTATGTTTGTATGTGTGTGTTTTTATTTTTATATTTTTGAGATGGAGTCACCCTGTGTCACCCATGCTGGAATGCAATGGAACTGTCTTGGCTCACTGCAACCTCCGCCTCCTGGGTTCAAGCAGTTTTCCTGCCTCCCAGGTAGCTGGCATTACAGGTGCCCACCACACTCGGCTAATATATGTGTGTTTTTAAGAAATAGAGTCTTGCTCTGTCACACAGGCTGGAGTGTAATGGTACAATCCTAGCCTTGGATTCCTGGGCTCAAGTGATCCTCCCCCTTGGTCTCCTGAGTAGCACAGGCAAAAGTCACCACACCTGGCTGATTTTTGTACTTTTTGTAAAGATGGGATCTCATTATGTTGCACTGTCTGGTCCCAAACTCCTGGGTTTAAGGGATCCTCTCACTTTGACCTCCTAAAGTGCTGGGATTAAAGGTGTGAGCCAGGGTGGGGTGCAGTGGCTCAAGTCTGTAATCCCAGCACTTTGGGAGGCCGAGGCGGGTGGATCATGAGGTCAAGAGATCGAGACCATCCTGGTCAACATGGTGAAACCCCGTCTCTACTAAACATACAAAAAATTAGCTGGGCATGGTGGCGCACTCCTATAATCCCAGCTATACAGGAGGCTGAGGCAGGAGAATTGCTCGAATCCAGGAAGCAGACGTTGTGGTGAGCCAAGATTGCGCCATTGCACTCCAGCCTGGGTAACAAGAGCGAAACTTCGTCTCAAAAAAAAAAAAAAAAAAGGCGTGAGCCACTGAGCCTGGCCCATGTTTATGTTAAAAAATTTAAAACGGTGGGGCATGGTGGTGAGCACCTATAATCCCAGTTACTTGGGAGGCTGAGGCAGGAGAATAGCTTGAACCTGGGAGGTGGAGGTTGCAGAGAGCCAAGATGGTGTCACTGCACTCCAGCCTAGGCCACAGAGCGTGATTCTGTTGCCAGATAGATAGATAGATAGATAGATAGATAGATAGATAGATAAAATAAACACATTACATCACATTCTAACAAATTCAGTGATAGGTAGTTTAAGGTAGAAATGGTTGGTTTCTCCTCTTTGCTTCTAGTCTCATTCCCCCAGAAATAAAGTGTCTTGGTGTATCTTAGAAATTTTTTCCTGTGCTGTGAGCACATACTTTTTTTTCTTTTAAAAAAATAAATGGCAAGATTTTACTATATCTGTCATCTTACAATTTATGGACATCTTTCAGTGTTGATATGGAGAGGTCTTCCTCCTCTAACTACTGGAGACAGGCTCTTCCATGGTGGGATGTGCCATAATTCATTTACCCAGGTATCTGCTGATGGCCGAGACATCCTTGGACATGCTTTTTTATGCCCACTACTAAGGTTTCCGTAGAGCCTTAACTACAAGTGGTACTTCCAGCCCTTTAAAGTTTTTATAGATATTGCACAATTGTTATTCAAGAGGTTTATAAAAATTTATACTCAGTACTAAGTAATTTACCTTGAAAGAATGACATTTTGCCATTTAAACATATAAGCTTTACTGTGGGCCTGTACTATGTTGGTGATGTTCCTGCCCTTAGGGATTTTCAGTCCATACAGAAGCTGCTCAGAGCTAGGCCAGGGTTCCCCGATGTCAGCTGGAGCCTTGTATCCGGGGACTTGAGGAAGGGAGAGGTCAGTTTGGCTTGGCAGGGTGGCTGTGCTGAGGTGGGGGTGGGGTGTTTAGGAAATGCTGACTTTGAAATCTGATTAGGTTTTTGCTAGGATTGTGAATTTTAGAAAGAGGAAATACAGGACAAAATCTTATAAGCCACTTTAAAACTCAGTTACACCAAAAATAAAAGGGGTGGGGTGGGGAGGATCATTTCTAAATCAGTTTATGAGAAGTAGGAGATGATAGTGTAAGAAAATACAGATGAACCCAAATGGTCACATACAAAAGTATGAATGTATTAGACTTTAGCTTTTTGTTTTTTGTTTTTGAGACAAAATCTCCATGTGTCACCCAGGCTGGAGTTCAGTGGTGTGATCTCGGCCCACTGCAGCCTCCACCTCCTGGGTTCAAGCTGTTCTCCTGCCTCCGCCTCCCAAGTAGCTGGGACTACAGACATGTGTCACTATGTCTGGCTAATTTTTTGTATTTTTAGTAGAGACGGGGTTTCACCATGTTGGCCAGGCTGGTCTTGAACTCCTGACCTCAAGTAATCTCCTTGGGAGATTATTCTCTTCCATCCAAATAGCTTATTTAATATCCTCTGTCCCTAAGCTTGAGGCTAGGTAGTGTCCATCTCCACTGTTGTATCCTAATACAGAATTCAGTACATGTCTATTGAATAAATAATGAGTGATATAATCTTCATAGGAGGAGAAAAATCAGAAGAACAGTGATCTTGAGGCATGCAGCAGCTCAGAGAGTTAGGTGGAGGGTCATGCTACAGGCTGGAATTTTGGGATTGTGCAAAGTGATTGCAGTAAGAGTGGTGGAGAGACCAGCTGACTACCCTTTAAGAGGGAAGTTATAGGAGAATGTTAAGGAAGGAAGTAACATGATTAGCTTTGCATTTAGAAAGATGACTATCTTATTTCAGGCTACTTTAACAA